AAGATCCCTCTTTATGCTATAACTAATATTCATTGCAGCTAGGAAGAATGGTGTGTGTGCTGGCTGGCTTCCTGCTGTGGTTAGGGCTTTGGGTTTTTCTTCATTTTCTGAGCCTGGATTGGTGGGAACCAATACATGTCTTGTCATAAATCACAGCATCTAAAGCCTGCTCTGAGTCATAGGTTTTCAAAATGTTTTTGGTCTGCAGACGGGTGCAGTGCTCCATGGAGTGGATGTAAGTCTACTGACAGTGGCCTTCGTCTTTGGAGTAATCCATGAACTTCACAAACAAGGGAACTTCTGGCCCCCAGAGGGAAGAACTGTTGTTTGAAGCATGTGTCTTCTCTTCCGGGTGGACTTGAGCTTGCCCTGCCTGGGCACTGAGCTAGCTGGGCACAAAGCAGCTCTGAGCCTGAAAGCTGTGGAATCGCGCTGGCACAGCCCAGCAAGCTGGGAGCTGTTTGCAAAGGGCAGCGTGAGCACTCCTGAAGTAGTATGTCAGCTCTAGCAGTTACGGAGGCATTTTGTGGTTAGGCAGGGCAATGACCCCTCTGACTTGTCTCCTTTGAAGGCTTTAGCAACATCCTTTCGGTCTTTAGCTAAGTTGGGGAGGGTTATGGTGGAGCACTGTACCAATTACCAGCTGTCTAGTGGAGATCTCAAAGGCCTTGCCACGTCAGTCTTCTGGCTGATTTGAGAGGCAGCATAGAACAGGTAAGGGTTGTGGCTGCATGTTTGGGTGCCTGTCTATGTATAACCTCGTAGTATAGTCAGGCTATCTGTGTCCCTTGTGCTTGTCTAGCTCTCCTCCCATGGGTAAAAATGGTGGTGAGGCAATGGTAGTGTGAGCTTTAGAATGTTTTGGAGACTGCAGGACACACTTTTGAAGCATTTAAAAGGAGAGGAATAGTTTGTGTTTGTCCTCAGAGTCTTTTTAGTGTCTTGACTTTTTTAGGATTAGGAGAAGGTTGTCAAACAGCTCAACAACTAGATACTGCTGCAAGGGTTATGCCCATCCTTTTGCAGCCTCTGGCTGTGTCATCTTGCGTCTCCTTTGCTGGTGCAAGCCACAGATGTGATCAAAAATCACCATACAATAAGTGGATTTCTGCTTGCTCGGTGAGCACAGGTGGCTTCCTGACAGACTAGACAAACACCAAAGCTGGTTCAAATAAGAGAGGAGATCTTCAGAGTGTGCAGATGACCAGAACCACTCTGGAAGAGGTGAGCCTTCACAGTTTACGATGCCTCACCTTTAGTACACTGGGCACTCTGAAAGCAAGAGGATGAGTAGCAGGGAGTAGGCGTGAGGCACCAAACAACACTGAGTAAGTTTGGAATTGTAATTTCCTATAAATCATTAGTAAAAGTACAATAGGTCTTTGTTTCTTTTGGTTCAGATACATGAAAATAGTATGAAAAAACTCCAGCTAACTCTCACTACCTGTAAGATATTAACAGTTGTTAAAGGTGCTAAAAATGTTGCCTTTTCTTAGAAACAAAAGGTCATGGTGTTAACAGGTAAGGTCATCCTTACTTTACCTATACAATCCATTTATTTCCTTGGGGGAGAAGGATTTAGCCTGGAAGATACTACTGCCTTCAGTACTGCTTAATTCTTTTATATGCATTTATAAATTGTGAGGGTAATCACAGTACTCTTGCAAGCCTTAAGTGGTCTTAAAAAGTAAATGGAAGAAGTCCATGTATACATGATGTGCTGTATGCAGTGTCATTTGACTTAGTTGCAGTAAGCTACCAAATCCTTTGCTGAGAAGGTGAAAAATAGTAAAAGAATTACAAAGTGTCTCCTCTGTATTGGTGAAAGACTTTGGAGATTAATGTTTTAGGCTTTCTTTCTCTTTGGTAAAATTTAACTGTGGTGTTTGATTTACTACAAGCATCTGTTCTGAGGCAATAGTTTTCAGACATGCTTTTCCTTCAAATTCAAATACAACCTGAGTGTGTTATCGGAAAGCTTGTTGGTTCATCCCCTGATTTTTAGGCAGTTGTTTCATTCTCTAGATTTGAATTCCATAACTTGTTAAAACATTGGATCTATAAGGCTATGCTGTTTTTCTCCTGAGTGCCTTTGATTGCTACTTAATAAGTATAGATGTTTGAGCATGTATTTAATAATAAAAATTTTTCTTTTACCAGCTGAGATGAGCTTTCTTCCACCTTAGAAAATAATGCCTTCACATGATGGAATCAGTAATGTTTTCTGGTCAGATCTTTCAGTCATATGGCAATGTAGCTATACTGTCCCTCTCTTGGACACTTACTGATTTTCATGTGTTATGTGCCTTTTGTTATGTATGTGGGAAAATTCTAAAACTTTACCTTAAAAAAGAAGGAAAAATGGACAAGTAGAACCTATTCCCTGATGGGAATCCTGAATTCCAGTGACATTCAAACTGGGCTAATAATAAGATATGGCAGAAATACCTTATTTAAAAGTCTCTTTAAAAAAACCCTAAAACACCGCTGGCTTCTCCCTGCTCCTCCCTTTCCCCAACCCCCAAGCTCTCTCCTCTGAGATTATGTAATTAAATAAATTTAAGTGCAGCAGAGGATTCTGTGCCTAAAAGTAAAATTTAGGAGTGGACAAAGAAGGAGCAAGATCTTGTATATTAAAAATGAGTCATTGAGTTCTTTCCTAATAGAATTTAAATTGACTCATCATATTGCATAAAGTTAGCAATACCACAAGCCTGATCTGATACTATTCTTTAAAAGTGTACTGGTGACTATAGTTGTGTGAGTTTATATGAAATCACATCAAATGACAGTCTGATCTAGAAATTGTATTGTAAATTAAATCATAAAATCTGAAGCCACATTTATGTTATGTGTAAAATAAGCAAACAAAAAGTACCCCTTGACATGTCTTCTTTAAAACTTAAAAAATGTGAAAATGCAGTAGATCTTTCAGTGTGTAGACTCTTGTTTGTGGTTGGTGGAGGAGAAAGAGCAATATGGTTACTCTTGAAAATTCTAGTAGAAATAGATTTTTCTCCTTGACAATCCTCAAGATTCTCCAGGGAACTTTTTTTTTCTCTTTCCAGTTACTTAGATTTATTTTTCTGTTGCAGAAGAGCTTCAGTTTTTGGGCTTCCCGTTTTACTTTTTATAAATTAAACTTATTTTTGCTCAAAGTGAAACCCCTTGTGAATTCTGCAGAGAGATGAAGATCACTATCAAGCCTGAAATAGTATTTTAAGGAATTGTAGGAATATATTTATGGGACTATTCCACTATATAATTTTATGCCATGCATGACAATCTCAGATAAATCCTAGTTTTCAGCATTCTCAGTGGCCATATGTCTTATGTACTACTCTTTCTTGTTGTTCTGCCCTAAAGAGGAAAATGTGCTTCTGAGAGAAGGCTAGAGGATGATTTTCACTCCTTGGATATTCCATGGGCTTGTTACAGCCAGCCATTAAACTAACTAAAATAATTAAACCAACTAAAAATTCTCCATATAAGAAAATAAGATCATGTGTATGTCTCCAATTTTTTTTTTTGTTTTGTTTTTTTTTTTTTTTTTTTTGTTTGTTTTTTTTTTTTTTTTGGTCAAGGAATTAAATCTCAATTGTTACAACCACAGGTATAAAGTTCTGTCATTTTTACTGTTATTTGTTTCAAGGTGGAAGAAAGGTTGCTTGAGCAGGTAATGTGTGATTTTGAGAGGCTGCCTGACAGACGTTAATGGAGATATAATTGGTTTTTGTTAGAGGTGAAATTTTGAATTCTAGAGAACATACCAGATTAGTTCACAGTTTGCAAGGTGCTTGCAGGTCACCATACCTTGTTAAATGAAGAGTGGGAGAAACTTGCTGGAACACTTTACCTATATATGCATGGCACTGCAGAAGTATAAACTAATGCAAGGGCATTCATTTCCTAAAACCAGCTGCTGAAAGTGGTACGAATCATACCCCCTTTATAATTCACAGATAGGGGAAATGGATTTAGGTCTCAGTTTTGTTACAGACAGTATTGTATCGTGCTGAGGGTTCACACTGAAGTCAGCGTGACTATTCATTCTTTGTGCAAATTACAGATGCAAAACTGAGCAGTTAAGTTTACTGAGTGAGAGGAATATGGAAGTGTATTTTATGTGAACATATCTGAATGTTTAGCTTTTTGGAAGCAAGCATTGTGATGCGTCTGTTGGGTCTTCTTGTCTGTTGGAACTGTTTTGTAGTTTGTTTATGTCTGACTTCTCTTTCATCTCTCCCTGCCTTTTTCTCATGTCTCCTGTACTGACTGCCAGTTTTCAGTGATGAGGTTTTAAGCTTTGAATATTCTTTTTTATTGTCTTCCTTAAGAGATTTTAAGGTGCATCTTGTGGCTTTTACCTTTGACCTTTTTCCTAGTATTCTGAATTATTCTGGAGTTTGCTAATTTATTTTTTAAATCTTGCCTTCCTTTCATCTCCTTTATTTCCAGTTTTCCCTTGGTTCTTCTCTACATGTATGTTTTATGCTTCTCTCTGTGTTGTTGCTTCATATTAGTTTATCAAAAATCTTGAGTTTCTTTTTTTCACTTATTCTTGCCTTTTTGTATACTGCTAAACAGAGCCATGGTAATGTATTTTTGCTTGATACCTGAGGTGCAGTTCAAAAAACAACAGAAACATAGTATTTGAAAAAAACTTAGTGCTTTTTAATTAGAAAAAAATCTGGTATCTATGAATGAGAATGAAAGAAAAGAAGTGTTTCAATGATCTCCTTTCTCTTCTGTTTTTCTGTATCTAAGGAATCAATTCTTTAAATTATTATTTTCAGGCAACAAGAAACCTAAAAGAAAATCTCTTTTAAATGAAGAATTCTACAGAATTATAGAACCTGCTTTTCTTCATGTTGATATATTTTTTATGTGCATTGGTATCATAGAATCAATATGAAATGGTCAGTTCTTATGTTTAGTAAATGAAGATTCACTTCACTGGCAGAATCTCTCATAACAATATTGATTTATTTTGTTTTCAGTGCAATGAAACTTCCTTCTTTTTTGAAGCACGTAACAAGATAACATGCAAACATCTCTGGAAATGCTGTGTAGAACATCATACATTTTTCAGGTGAATGATGCAGAAGTTGTGGTTTTGTAACAAAAAGGAGGCAGACTATATTGAGTAAGAACCTTGTTATACCGACAGAATGGTATAGCATGTTTGCTGCCTGAAAGCACTTTTTTTCTCTTGGTTATAGAATGCTTTTAAAAGCTGATGTCTTCCTTTTTCTTACAACTATGTGAATCAATAATTTTAAAATTGGGTAGTTTGGTGGTTTCTTTTGTCTTAGAATTATTTTTGAAACAGTATCTCAGGTTGCATAAAGTAGGCTTAAAAGAAGTATCAACAAATGTATATGGTGGGATTTAAGTTGCCATATATGTTTTTACGTATTTAACCATCACATTTTCTGTAGCAGCATTGACTTGAGTGAAGCGTTTGGATTTCAGATATTGCTGTTTCCTACAACACACAGAAATTTTATTTCTTGCTAGAAAATTCATTGAATTTCCGTAATGTTTTGCTTACCTTGTGAAGCGTATAAAATGTTATTCGGTATTACACATCTCAAAACACTTTTTTTCACTGTTGCAAAAAGACTAACAGGCATGTGCAGGGATGTCTGTTAGGAACTGGTCGATGGGATGCTTGGGACTGGCTTTAGCAGTGCTGTAAATGAATAAGCTCAGAATCCCTCCTGCAGTCTCATTACTATGACATGATGTTTTTGCTTGCTCCTGTGAAATATTACACAAAAGGCTGCTGTTGCCAGCAGTTTACAGTAGACCCTGAAATAAAGAGGTGTATAGTCAGGAGTGCATAAACATGTGGCTTTGTGGAGCTCTCAACCCAGTAACCTCTGTCTGGAGGTAGGGATGTAGAAGAACTAGCAGAAATTTTTTTTAACCTAAAGTTTGTATTTCTCTTTTATTTTCTTGGGAAGGGGACTGTAGTTAGAGCTGTCTATGTAACTTACTCTGTTTTATTTTTCAAACTACATAGAGTGCCAGAGAATGAATCAAACTCTCTGTCAAGAAAATTCAGCAAGTTTGGATCCATAGGTTATAAACATCGGTACAGGTGAATTTATTTCATTGTTTAAACTTCAACTAATTCCTTCTTCATTCTTTCTTTTCTCCTCCTTTCTTCCAATGAAAGAAAAACCCCACCCAGACTATGACTCAAAGACATTCTGCTGACAAAGCATGAATCAGGGCCATTTTAACAGATTCCCCTTGGGAGTCTGGCAGTTTTGGGACAAATGTGAGTTACTTCTCATTCTCCAGATCCCCAGAGTTGGCTAGGGCCTGCTGTAGCCTGTAGTGAAAGTGAGAGCAGCCTTGGCAATGCTTTAAGTCAAAATCTCCTTGTAAGTCTAGAAATTATGTTCATGTCCTAAAGGGTTTTTCCTGTCAACTGGGGAATACCAAAATGAGGAGGCATGTTGGCTGCTGCCTTTCTTCTGGGAATTAGGAGAGGACTGGTGCGAAAAAGCGTATAAAAGTCTGTAACTTTGATGCTCTTCTTTACAGCTGCAGTTGAGCTATGGTAAGGGCTCCCAATCCAAATGGTTATGTCTAATCCTGTAGCAGTACTACTAGAGCAGTGCTACTGATTTAAGAATAAAAGTAAGGGCAGATCTGAAGGGAGGTGGGGCTATCTTTTCTGACTGGTATAGCTGGAAAAATTGGATAAGCATTCAAGGCTGCAAGCCTTGAAAGATGCAGTAAACTTCAGACTAAGAGTGTATAGGAAGCCCTTAGTCTCACTTTTAGACTGAGTTAACCAAGCAGTGTGACATAAAGGGCAGTTAATATTGTGATACAGAGGAAGATGTGGCAAGGAGAGTAGGTTTAAGATCCTCTAGGTGCTGTGCCATGGAGGACTAACAGTGTATAGCATGTAGTTAAAATTGTAAGATGTCAGAAATCCAACAGTTTTTACTGAGCATTACTGAGACTTTATACTTTTAAGTCTGTTGAAATGTCAGGGTGTTTGTCTAGTGAGTAAAGCACTTGATTTGGTAATTGGCGTCCTCTGTTTTAAATCCAATTCTATCACTTTGGCTGAGTAATTTTGAGCCAAATAATTTATGGTCTGGTTTTTAGAATTGCTTTAGAGTTGTGTATTCAGTGAACCTGAAAGTGAGGGTGGAAAGCAGCAAATCAAAACCACATCTGAAAGCCAGACCCCTTTGTTTTTCCATTTTAATTTTCCCTGTTGGTCAAGTGGCGATAAAACCAGTTTTTCATCTTTTGTAGTTATTTCAAAGCTGCTGGGTAAAGGGGCCTTATTTACTATAGTGGCAAAATCTAGATAGAGGTATTTTCCATGGCCTGCAAATATAGCAGGTTTGTTTAGGTTTACTTTTGGCTTATCGGTCTGTCTCTCCTTTCTGTCTGTATTTCTACCATAATTCAAGAAATACATGGAATATAATGAGTAAGGCTGACAGTCATTAGTTAGGCAGTTCTTTATCACTGCCTCTTAGGAAGGCTTTTCTAAAACCAGGAAAACCATAATCCCCAATTTCTCCAGCAGCTCCTGGATTGGAGTTACTATCTGTGGTAGGTAGTAATAGTAATGGGTAACAGTAGCTCTGTTACACTTGACCTCAGTCAGTCAGAATTCACAGTCAACTGATTGTTACCATTGGATGTAGGATATTGCTTTTAAGGAAGGTGTTACTGATGGAGAGGGATAACTATGCCTGTTTTGAGCTTGAGCTCATGTGCCTGAATCTGGACCATCTCCAGCCAGGATCACTGGTGTGTTTCTGTCCCATCCTCTCCAACGTATTTCATAATAATGCAGGTTATTTGGGTTATCACATTATCTGACATGATCCAGCTTCTGCTCGTTGTAGATAATACAAAAATGATTGTACTGTCTTTTGGTTTGTATCCTGAACCACATTATCCCATCTGTGAAAATGGACAGGAGTTCAGTGGATTCCTGACAGAGTACTGCAGATGAGAGTTTCCTCTTTTGACCCATTTCAGCAGATTGGATCAGGGCGCTGGTGCTGTGGAGGAGAAAGCTTTGTACTTACCAGGACCTTCCAATCAATTTAAAAAAAATACTATGAAGCAGTTAACAGTGACATCTGAGTTATTTCTGCTGATGGTGCATTTAAGTTCATGTTCCTTTTAAAATAAGTTTCAAGGGTGATCTGTGGTATGATCTGACATATTGGGATGATGGTCATGACTGACAGCTATGTTTGTAATGTTAGTTTTGTCTAGAAAATATTAAAGTATATATTTCACTTCTAGTATGAAGTGTTCAGTGTTTTGCTGCAGTGATTCTTGAGGACTCCCCCTGACCTGAGTGGATGTTCTAGTAAATGTGGGTTGTGATGTCTAGTTGCACTATATTGATTATAGAGTGCTAATGATAAATAGCGATAATCAATTGGTGATTGACATGTTAACTCTTTCCTTGGAATTCAGAGCAGCAGTAACAGCATTTTCATGTACTTTGAGAATCTTCTCTTTGCTTATCCATCAGCTTTGCTTGTGCCTATCCTCTTTGGCTTTGGCCCCTGTTGTAGCACCAAAAGCAGTGACAGTGTTGTGTATCTGTATATATCATTAGCTCAAAGTAGAAACAATAATCCCACCATTTGACTCTCTATGTGTGGGGACCATAATATTATCTTTTGAATTTTTTTTTTTTTTTTTTTAAATCTTCTAGGTACTTCTCATTAGGTGGCAGACAGTTTTCAGGAAAGCAATTTCCTTGTTTTAAGATTAGATGCTTTTGTTAATATGTGAAGGTGTTAGTGTGAATGGAAGGTCTTATCACCAGATGTTTTGTTAAAACTGATTCTGGAATTTGCAAGACTGGCATGGTTGCCACACTTAAAAGTTGAACAGAAGTGTTTTCTGGCTAAAGTGGGAGCAAAAATCCCATTAAACAATATAAAAAACCAGTGTTACTGTGATGTAATGACAGAATTTGGGTTTTTTTTGTCCTTTAATTATTTTACAAATTTTCCAGAGATAAAAATTCTACACTGCTAGCTACCCCTGTGGGAGTGTTGGTGAAAATACAATGAGTATTTAGTGGAGTCTATTTGCATAACTCAGAAAATCTACATATGTAATGCCTGTATAGTTGCTTGGCACTTGCTAGTAAGATACCTGTTTACTTCTAAGTCATCGAACTGCAGGTGTTTAAGCAACTGGCAGTTAATAGCAACCGTTACTTCTCTTATGTAGTAAATTTTCAGAAGCAAACATGGAGTTTGGGGGACAAATATGAGACTTGTTTTACATTTTTGTTAGGAACACTATATACTGTTTAGTCACATGGAGACAAATATTAAAATGAGCACAAAATAATTTATTTAAACTTAATAACTTCTTTAAATTGTGCAATGAAAAGCCTTACTGTAAACAGCAATCAGGACTTCTACTCAATTTATTATCATTTGGGCCTTTGCTAGTGAGAGTACTGTATTACAATTTGCATTGCACAGTGTTTCCCATGCCCTTTCGGATTGTCATTCCGTGTGGCAGAGAAGTAGCCCCTTATGACTGGAACTGAGCAGTGTTAAATACGTGTTTTTCCAGGATGAAAACTTATAAAAAGAATTCAGGAAGTAATTAAATTACTTAAGAAAGTAAAATGTTAGAATATTTGAGGCTACAAAAGATCACACTATCTTAGCCTATTCCTAATAAACCAGCATTTTGGTTTAGTTGCTTAGCTCCTCTTGAAAATGCCAGATATAGAAGAAGTTGGAACAATCGGTTGATACTGTCAAGGCCTGATTAAAAACAAAAGTCAGTGTAGTGCTATTCAGCAGGAGAACCAGAGCTAGGATGAGAACACCCAGCTGAAACCCCATGCATTTTTTTCAGTCTGAAGAGCCTGTCTTTCTTTGGTATTTTTTTCCAAGTGTTTTCCCCATGATTTTGTTGTATTTTCAAGTGGCAGGTCATCTTCACAAATGACCAGAGACCCTTCTGTGCAGCTCCCGCGTCCTGACCAGTGCATTGAAAGAAGTCGCAGCAAGACTTACCCCAAAAGAGTTCAACAGACAGGTAAGTCCTTCTCTGTTGGGACTGTGGAGAGGTGTCTCCTTTGGTCTTTGGTTCATCTTGTTTTCAAGAGGTGACTCAGAACTGCTGCAGTGTCCTCAGGGATCTCTCAGAATGGATTCTCTCTTTTACATTAGGTCAGTATTTATACCTAACCTTAACTGTATTGAAAAACTCCAGCTTTGTGGATAAAAATAGAAGATATGATGCGGATCAAACATGGTAAAACTCCATGTTTGTAGATCTAACGTAAAGTATAAAAGGGAAGTTTGAAAACAGGCAGTGAGAACATGTGTTTTTTCAGCAGTCCTGTCTCTCGCTAAGGAGTTTTATACCTTTGTGTCTTGGTTGGTATCCCATTGTCTCAGCTGCCTGACCCAAGGTGTCTCCCTTGTCTTCTCAGTTCAAGGGCAGTTTCCTTTTATTTTGATACTAAGTGGTACAGAAGTTAGTGCCATGCCCTCTGCAGTTTTAACATACTTCAGATATGTGAGCTGGAAATCTGTTTTGCATGCTGGAGATGTCAGAGGAAGCTGGAAGTTTTTACAGGTGGTAGAGGAAAAATACAAGATTAAGTACAGATCATAGGAGCCATGCCCAGAGTAATGGATGTTTCCTGAAATTTAGTAATAGAGGTAGAAAGCTTTTCTAATGTCAAGCTCCAGTTTTACACGTGATTACATGTGTATGCTTAGCTTCATCTATGGCAGCAGTCATGCAGATTTCAGTTGAACTCGTGCATGGAGTTAAGTATATATGTATGTGTTTTCACAGTTTGAGAAAAAACTGGGTTGTCTGGGCTTAAAAGTATAAGCAAGATTTCTCTTTATCATGGGTTATTATGGCATTATAAACTTTTAAGAGTCACAATTTTTAAAAAGAGAGCAGGTGTATATATCTGAAAGCCTCCTATGTTTATTCATCTTTTGACTCAGAAACAAAGTTGGTGTGTTCTGCCTTTTAGCTGCAGTGTCTTGAAGTGTAGTGTAATTAGATTGCCATTTGAAAATACAAGCCGTTTACAATAGATTTTTTTAAAATTTTATTTAGTTAGGTGTAAGAAGAGAAGGATTGCTTTGTTTTCTGATTATGATATCTTTTTGGTGTGTCTGCAATTGTCACTGGATGCCTAAGAGGACAAGAAGCTGTTCACCCTTGAACCTGGTGACTTAGGCTTTTATTCAGCTGGGTTGTCCCATTCTGAGGGTGGTAGTTCAAGATGAGCAGCGTTTCACACCTCATTAGTACCCAGTTCAGTTGTGCAAAAAATTGTGTGGCTATTCAGTGGCAAACTTGTGAGCTGAAACTCAGTCCTTAGTTGAAAATAATGTTTGCCTTAGTGCAGGCAGTGGAAGTCAGTCTGTATTGCTGCAGAGTTGTGTATGTTGTGCTTGCTGATTTTTTTTTTTTTTTTTTTTTTTTGTCTCTGACTGGAATTGTGAGGAAAACTGAAACCTTCCTTTGGGCTGTCTGCTGATGTAACATGATGCAGAATTCTCTGGTCAATAGGTGTTTGTTTTAGTGGATTTAAATACTTTGTTTTACTTTAAAATAAAATGCTGCTTTTTCACTGTCTTACCCATATGTATTTGTGTAATCTTTATCACGCACCTGGTTTGTTTTGCTTTTAATTCAATTTAATGACTACCGGTGTGTTCCAAGTGTGCAGTCGTTTTCCACTGGGGCAAATGTATTACCTCAAATGACTTTCAAGTTAAATTAATTTGTTTCATTTCTCACTTAAAATATGGGCTAAAGGAAGAGAGCTGTGCCATTCAAATTCCATCTTTCCCTATAAATGAGAGTATTTTTTACTCTATTTTTTCATTTTGTTTTGGGATATTCACAATGGTAAATATTTCATACTCTTTCTCTGTTTAAATAGGCTTTCTGATGCTGAAGGCAGATTAACACTACTTCTGCTCTGTGTCAGACACCATGTGACAGTCTACTGCATGTCACTAGGTTAAATCCCCCCCTTTTCATCTAAATAGGTTTTCGAATATAGCAAAGTCCATTTCACACAATAAATCAAGTCTATTTCATATGTTTTCAGCATCATTTGTTTAAAAATACTAACCCAATGTAGATTTTACTTTTATAGAATGATTTTTATCTCAGAAATGAACCTGGTGGTTTAACAGTTTTGAATTACTTAAAACTTCCCCTGACTGCAATGTTTGAGAGAATGATATGACATTTCTTCTTAAAATAAATACTCTTTTTGCATAATAAGGTTGTGCTGGTGGTAATAATTGATGGCTGGTCCTTTTTTCTTGATTTTGTGTTTCTAGTATGGTATAATAAGATTAAATATGCCTTGTTCAACATTTTAAACAGGGTGATTTTAGTTTGCATGTATTACATGTTTCTTAAGGTGTTTCTTGCCAAATGCCACTTAAATTGGGATCCAGGTGGACATGGCTTATAATTTAGCTTCTTGGAATGAAAATCAGAGTTCTATTTATTCTCCCAAAACCCAGTAACAACTTAAAAATAGTTCTTAAGCAGTAAATTCCTTCCACTTTCTCGGAGTTCAGCATCTTTCCTCACCTGCTTCTTTACTTTTTTCCCCCTTTCCTTAATACTGCGAAGTTAAGCATATGAAATGCTTACTTTCTGCAGCCGGTTCAATTAGCCATTCTGGTTTCGTTTTGTTTTTGTGGCACCAGCCACAACAGTGGTTTGGGGGGCAATTAGATGAACCAGTAGCTACAAATACACAGCTGTAGCATATGCAGTCTGCACTGCCTCCATCATAGAGGTGTGTGTGAAGTATTTTAAAGCCTTTAACCTTTTGGCATCTCATGAAAACCTTTTCCCTCATTCCTTCTTTTTGTGTACGTGTTCTGGTATTATAAGCAGCTACACAGTATGTGTTTTTTATGTTTTTTTTTTTTTTTTCCTGTCACCTGAAGGTAGAGGTTAGCTATCTTCTTCAGAGCTGAGCAATTAATAATGTTTATTTGTCTCATTGGTACATTATAGTATGCTAAAGTCATTAGGACTGCAGCTGCTTGGTGAACTCTGGGTTAAGTTTTAGAGTAGGTGCCAAGACCATGATAGAAAATGTTTCCTTCTATGTTTTCAGTAAAGATATTTGTGCTTTAAGAGGGATTGAAAGAGATGATGCTGTGAACAGAGAGAAGCCAGCTTTCTTGTATAAAAGCCACTGCCATTGACTGATTCCACTGATAAAAAAGTCAGTGCAGACAGTTTGACTTTATAGCATGGCAGATTATTTTCCTAGAATCCAGATTACAGTTTTTTAAAATGCAGTAACCTTCCTTTTATCACTTGCTTAATATGTTCCATATCTCAATTGTTCTAGGGTTAGTGGAAAAATCAGACCAAGAAACTTCAGTAGCTACGCAATCAATGTTTTTATATTAGTGCACTGTTTTTTTGGGGTGTATGTTAAGGTTGGCATTCAAGTTGGTGTTCAGTTGGAGAAGGTTTGGTTTTGTTTTGTAAAGTCTTACATGTGAGATATGCGTAGCTTGTTTTGTTTGCTTATTCTCCCTGTTTCAGCTGAGAGAGAATTACGGTTGCATTTTGTTCGGTTGCAAATTGTAAACTCAGACATGGAACAGGATCTCTCATTATTCTGTTCTGCCCTCTTAGGGCAAGACTGAAAATATTCAGCTTTCGCAACAGTGCGTTGGGTGAAAGCATTCATTATTCGTTTGGCTGAATGCTGCACGTGAAAAGCTTCTTGGGAATGTTCTATCTGGACAAACATTGATGTGACCAGACCTGTTGCTGTGGGTCTGAGTTTATTCAGCAGTGGAAAAAAACATTGCTTAGGGTTTGCTGTTGTTTGGTAGCTGAGGACTTGACTTGTCCCTGCCTTGCACACAGGGTAGTTGTATAAACTAGTGTAAAGTGCTGCTGTTCTGAGTTAAAAGCCAGGTGAAGAATCAAGAATGGGTATTAAAATTACCGTATTGTCTGTATTATAGTAGACCCTAAGCAATCACTGGCAGTCACAGACCCTGCCCTGACTAACTTACATATTACCACAGACACCTATAATTACCCTGCTTCTCCAGCGTCAGTCCTGGTACCTGGAACTGTTGGTCTGGTGCATTCAAAGTCACAAATCTTTTCCCAGAAAGTTGTGAGATTGGATTTGAAAGTTAAATTTTAGAAAATGCATCTCAGGGGTAATTATATGTACTTATTTATTTACTTGAGTTTTATACTTTAAAGTTTATTTTAAAACCCATGTTTTGTAAAAGGACGGATGTGACTGCTTCTGCATTTCATGTATGTGGTGTGAGATGCACAAACCCTTGAGGCTACAGGTTTGGAAACTAGTTTGGAAAATAAACATTATCACAGAGTAGGCAATGCTAGTGTAGACATATCAAAGTCCATTAATTTTTATCGGCTCTTATTAACACACAGTGCAAAACATGAGCTCTTACTGCATGTTTTCCTTTTGATCACACTATCTTTTGCTCTCATTAATTTAAATACAAACCACACTTCTAGATAATGTCAGTGAAATTACATTAGTTGATAAGAAGCAGGCATGACAAGCTAATTAGACTGCTGGGCTCCTGAGGTTTTGGACATTTGAGTTTTTAAAAATGTAATAGTCTATTTAAATGGAATGTGCAAATCGGCATCGAGATGGGTGTACAAGGGAATTGAAGTGTGTGCATTCACCTTATTGGAAAAGTTCAGTGCAGTGCATGCTGATAGTAACTTATCTGACAAAAGATAAACAGTCAGGAAAGCCCACTACAAGTGAGATGTTCAAGATTTCTGGCTATCTAAGGTATTTTTGAGAGGCCTATTACCTTGGCATGCAAGAAACAGTGATATAGATAAGTTATTGCAATGGAGTTAGTGTTTGGACATTTTTTCTGAATTCTTTTCTTTTACATTAGGGATACTGTATCATATTGAGGTATATGTAGGTAGAACAGTACTATAGTTAGTAAAAGATACACAAGGTGGAACATATTTAAGACAATTATTACAGTGTCTGTAAGTGTGGACAGAAAGCTCCTCATTAAGCTAGTTATTTGTGCAGAAGAATTGTCCAGCAAGAGGTTTTTTTATTTTTTTAAAGCAAAGTGAAGGTCCTCATGGGCATCACTGGAGTCAGGCACAGTTAGTACGAGGTCCGCTTCAGTAGAAACCTGTTCTGTATTTCTGGGTAGATTCTACCTGTGTGTGATAGTCACTGTTGTCTTTTCTTTGGTTTTCCCTCAACTAAGTACCTGTTAAAATAGTAGAGTGTTAACCAGGGAATTCAGCAGTGAGAAGGAGCTGCTTCTTTTTTAAGGATTCATTAGTATTGGCTGCTTCAAAAACTGAGGTGCCCAGTGTAGGGTCTGCAGCACCAGCCTTTGTGCAGGGCGCTGAAGGAGTTGAGTTTCTGCACTCAGGTGGCCTGACTGGGCGTCTCATAACCCCCCATCACCTGACACCCAGAGGTGACTGGATGTCAGCAGAATGGTAAAGCTATTGCCAAACATAGCAAAGGATCAGTTCTGGAGGTGGCCATTACTTTAGTAGCATTTGACCCTTGGCTCTTTTTCTAGCAGTTGTTTCAAAGATATGACTTGTTGGAGCATGAGCTCATACTGCTCCATGAAGGTATGAGCCCTCTGAGAGGCTTAGTTGGAAGCTACCTCACTTACAGTAATATGTGAAGTACTGAAATTATTTTATTTGAAGAAGTAGTATCTTTGCTGTTTTCAGTACTTATGTGGGCCAAGTTATAGTGGGTTATTGTATCTTATGTATTTGATGGCCTAGGAAAGACAAGCTAAATGTTATTTGCATGCAAAAAAAATACAGTCAGAAACCCTGAGATATCCTTATAGTTTAACATGTTGATCTACGCAGTTTTCATTTCACTACTAGTACCTTCCTTAAAGGTGGGAAATTTGTGCTTCCTGTTCTTATGTGCTGTCATCTTTATTTGTGATTTTTGACTGTAGGAATCCTGTTTTTAGAGGTCAGAGGAAGAACTTCTGTAGCAGTCTTCTGTGGCCTTAATGAAGATTGGTGATTCTTTTTCTGATCATTGTCTTATCCACATTAGTTCTTTCTTAGTTTATTGTTCAGGAATTTTGTTTTTTTACCAAGCAAATCACAGTGGCAGTGTAGCTATTGCTTGAAAGCAGAAAATAACTGGACAGATGTGCAGTGCTTCAGAGAGTCTGGAGAGTTAGTTGTCTCTTTTTATATAAAATAGAGGATTCATTCAGAATGCCAAAACTTTACTTTCCTTTCTGTCTGTGAATCTATGCCCATTCTGCACTTCCTTCTTCAGAATATTCCAAGTTCTTCCTAGTGCTTATGCTTGCATAAACAACAAAAAGTGCCTTGAAGGAACAAATACCATAAAAGACAGGACTGAGGCTGCTCCCCTGCCCTGCCATGCACTAGTCTGAAAAACTAAGTAGGGAAGGGAGAAAACTACATCATTAAAAGTGGTAAGGTCAAACACTTGAAGGGCTTTGCTGAGTTGCTTAAGCAAAGGTGACTAATGCCACTTGAGACCCGCTGCAGTGTATGAGGCATCTGCAGAAGTTGCTTTGTTGTTTTACTTAACATCTGCTTCTGGAGCTGTTAACAGCTTTGTAAGAAATGACTGAAATTGCCAGTTAGGTGGAAGGAGAATGTGCGAACTGAAGAAAAATTACAGATTAATGTTAATAGCACATCATGGGAACTAAAATCATAGGACCAGTAACAACAAACCTGTCTTGATGAATTTAATTATTACTACATATTAAGCTGAACAGAACAGGGTTTTTTTTGTTCTTGCTTCTGAGCTGTATACATCTGTAGAACATAGTCTTGTCATGCCACTTTGACATTAACCCAGTATGAAATACCCAGATTCTCTTCACCCTCAGTGTTTCTAAATAATGAATACACAAATTTGTTTCTTTGAAGACTGTTATATGAGGGCTCAAAAAGAGGGGAAAGTGCATGTTTCTCCTGTTTCTTCAGGTTCCCTTTCATGGCTCAGGTGGGGACTTAAGCGCCAACAGTGCAAAAAGTGCAGGACCAGATGGAAAGAGTATTAAACACAAAATTGGAAACTAGGTTGGTAACTTTCAAATAATGGCCAAAAGTTTCTGACTCATTGAAACTGATGCTTAGCTGTCGCTGAGTGTTAATCTTTATTGTCTCTCTCTACAGGATTAGTTTCCTAATCCATTGATTTACAGTTACTATTTTCCTGGGCATAGTTTAGGATATATTAGTGTTGTGTTGCACTGTGTTGCTACACCAGTTTGAAATGGCTTCTTAGAACAAACATACTCATCTTGCTTTACCATCTAATCTAATGATTGTTTTAGAGGCCACAGTTATTACATTGGAGATTCCCAAGCTTTTTTATAGCCTGTGTTTTCCTCACACCTTTCTTCTCATTGGCGACTGAGCAGGGAGTTCCCTTCTGGTGGCAGTGGCATAGTATCACTTTGAGAACAACAGCTTCGAACTCCCCTGTCTCATGTGGAAGAGTAATGAATGTTCTTGTGTCTGTTCCGTCCTGTCTCCCCAGCCACCAACTTTCTTGTGTTGTGGTATAACTAGAAATAAGGATAAGACACAAAAGTGTGATCCTTATACACCCTTAGCAAGCAGAGCACGCACCAGATGTCTTGTGTATCATTTTATCCATCATGCTGCACTGAGTTCAGTAGGTGATTATGCTCAGTAGGTGTGCAAGCATATATGCTACAGGACTGTTCTGTTTCTGTGGTTTTTTTTTTCAGGATCTAAGAACATGAGCCAGATTACAACAAATGGGGAAAATGAAGGAACTACCAAAATTATTGCACCTTCCCCTGTGAAAAGGTATGTAGACCTGTAGTACCCTTCCAACTTTTAAGAGATCGTGTATTACACTGGATAGAGGAACATGTTTAGTAATTGGTAATAATATATCCTGCCCTTAAGTTCAGGACCATCTGATCTGCTGACAACGGTCAAAGAGTATTGCCCAGTAATTTGTATTAAAAAACCCTGATCTGATGAACTTGGAATGGGGGTTCCAGGTGACACAGAGTTTGGAAACCCAGAGTTGTGACAAGTTAATGGGAAGGCAAACATTCTCAGTTTTAAATATGAAAAAAAAAAAAAACAGATAATGACCCAAGTGGTGCTGGTCAGGATAGTCCTGTGAAGTCCTGTGTGTCTCTACCCTGGGAGCTGTGGGCTGTCTTGCCGAGCCCTCAGGGCCTGCATCTCCTGCCTCTGCGCAGGGCAATCTCTGCTTGGGATGCGTGTGCAGGGAAGAGCCTGGCATGGCCTCTCTTCCAGCAGTGCTGTTAATCTTGCACTCCATTACTGTTAAACCCAGAACAAAGTTCATGAGTGTTTGTGACTGATCCTTAGGAGCACTGAATTGCCGGGGCTCCTCTGGACTTGTGTGGTCTGAGGTGTTTAATTATCGGTGCTGAAGTGCACATCTCTGGTTCTTAGGGATATTTGAGAGAGAGAGGTGACGCTCAGATTCAGAAGGGGATTTATGTCCCCACCCTTACTTTTAGGTGGAATTTGGGTGCCTGAATTAAAAAAGAGTGATCTGACAAAACAATGAGTCAAAACCTCAGCACCTAACTTTTTAGCTTAATAGCCTATATGTCTGTCTCTGCATGCCCAGTAACTGACAGAATTTTTTTGAGCTGGGTAACTGGCCTTATCTTTGCACTGAAACTGTGGGCTTCACATACAAGGTATCTGGATTGACCTCTGAGAAAGGGTCTAAAACATTTGCTGCAGATACTTAGTACATAGTGTTGCCTGTTGCCTAATGTTGAGAACAGTTGTCTCAAAAAAAGAAGAGCCGAGTTTAATTGATTCCTCAAATTGAGGGAAATTGAAACCAGTATTCTAGCCCTTAGAAAATAATACTGGTCATGGGTTAAAAGAAAGTTTATGATTTTGCCACTCGGTCATGCTGAAGCTAGACCACTGATCAGAAAACAATATATAAATACCTGTGGGGAGAGTGCGAAGAGGACAGAGCCAGGCTCTTTTCAGTGGTGACCAGAGGCAATGGGCACACTCTGAAACACAGGAGGTTCCCTCTGAACACCAGGAAATACTTTTTTTGCTGTGAGAGCGACTGAGCACTAGCACGGGTTGCCTGGTAAGGTGGTGGAGTCTCCATCCTTGGAGATAATTCAGCAGCCATCTGGGAATGCTTCTGGGCAACTGGTTCTGGGTGGCCCTTCTGGAGCAGGGGGTTGGACTAGATGACCTCCACAGAACCTTTCCAACTTCAACCCTTCTGTCGTTCTGTGATTTGTTAGGAGAGAGAAAGGTACAAAGCAAGAGGTATGCTTATTCCATAGTGCAGAGATGATCGTATTGGGCAGGGATAGGAGCCCATCACTACAGTTGTGTTCCAAATGCTATCTATAAATTTATAGTAATGAACTGTTAAAAAGAAATGGATAGGCAGGTTGTAGAGCAAGAATCAAAGCAGGGGGCTCTCAACATGGCAGATTCAAGGTTTCTGAGTATAGTTTCTTACCTTGACAGTTTAAAAGCAATTCACAGGCTGATTCTCACTGAGTCATGGTTTTAAATGATGTTAGTCACTTCCAGAAAAAAAGTGTTGGAAGTTGTTTTTCTTGCATGCTTTCTATTTTGAAATTGATTTGTTTTTCTCTGTGTCTTTGTCTGCACATGTAAAACACCTTTCAGGTCTTCCAGGCTTAGTATGCATGACAGGCAACACACCTACTTTGTGAAGCATTTACAGTTTGGTAGTTTTGTCCATCCTATGTATTTCTTATATTAATTGTCAGTCATGCTTACAAAGCATCTTTCAGTAGCTCTTATAATCTGAGTTTTTGTAATGTAGCATCTCATTCACTGTTAAGATACATAGTTGGTCACTTCTGCATAAGTGGTATAAATTCAATGTAAACCATAGAACCCCCCAACAACAGTAATCTCATGTGAAATTCAGGTCCTGACCTTTTCAAATACTTCAGATGAACTCAGTCCCTTTTAAAACTGCATTCCTGGAGATAATACTAGTATGTGAAGGGCTGCCATGCTCTAGCTCTCTAGCTGTAAAGTGTGTGTCTGCTCTGAATGAATAATGACCTAAGAATCTAATGCAATGAATTCACTTCCCAGGATAATTTCCCTCTCTCATTTTTAAGATTTGAGGACACTATTAAATTTTTTTTAAGCCCAACTTCAGTCTAAATATTCAGTAGTTTATGCTCTGCAAATCAAATTGCTTTTTGCAATACAGAACTGAAACCTATTTACCTGAGTTACTTCCTTAGTCTGTAGTAAGCACATATTTTTAAGCCTGAGAATAGATTGTATGCACATATGAGTCAATAATTAGTGGGTGCAGTATTAAGAAAATGATTTACCTGATAAAGTGTAATTTAATTTATTTTCCTGCTGACTTAGTGTAGGTTTGCATTTTGTTCACTATGTGAGAATTAAATTATTAACTCAGTGACCTGTAGTAACCAAAGGCTGAGGCTAAAAGTGGATTAGTGAGTTAAGTAGCCACAATTCCTTCATAAAGCTGAGTCTGTCACCTCCTGCTCTGGGCAAAGAACTCTGGCTTGTGTCCTCCTCTCTGTAAGCATCTGTAAAACTTTTTTCTGTGTAACTTGCGCTTTGGAAAGATATGTTACATTAATTCTTGTAGTGGATTGCTGTCAGTAATACTTCTTGAATAGATTAGTGGAAATCAATGTGTTTGTCTAGTTCTGTACCAGGTGAACGGCGTGTTCATGTAGAAAATGAGCTCTAGAGATGATGATGCAGGAAAAGCATGACAAATCATTGGTGATAAGATGGGTCCAAAAGCATGCCTCAGCTGGAAGCCACCTTCCAGCACTTGCAGTGGCAGTGAGCAGGCTGTCTAGGAGTATTAATGAGTTGGAAGTTGTAAAACCTGACACTGTAAAAATGGTAAAAAATAAAGGAGGAATTGGAGGATCCTGCTGGTTTTCCTCCCCATCTCCCATAGGTACAATGGAAGACTGGTTACAAACACTGATATAAGCCAGGTGGCTGTTTTGACTGTACTGGTCACTGACCTTGCAGCAGTCAGCGAAGGCAGCTCTTTCACAATGTTAGATCTATGCTCAGTGTTGAGCAAAAAAAAAAAACAATAAGGAGTTACTGGCGAAGGAATTAGAAGAATATGCTACTCTATGAAGCTGTGGTCTGTCATGTTTTGAATAGTTGCCACCTCTCCCTTTGTAGCTCCCATCTTAAAGAAGGTACTGTAGATCTGGAAATATGGTGGAGAAATATGAAAATTATAATCAGAGGTATATGGTGACTGCTATACTTGGAGAGGTTAAATAGTCTGTGATTCTTTCACTTGGAAAAGAGATGAGACAGTTGTTAAAAATGTATTAAAAACAATAATTATGTGGTAGAGTTTGTGATGAGGGAACTGTCATTCATAGGACTTGGTTTTTTTCTTTCTATAAGCACAGAACTAGAGAAGAACACAGGATAGAAGGTTTGAAACAGGTGGAAGTTTTGAAATAAAATTAAGTAATTGTTTGTGCCATAGTTAAAGCACTGGAGCATGCAGCTACTAGGCACTATCTATTCCAGAAATTACAAAATGTCCAAGAGGCGTTTGAGTAAATCCACTGAAGTTCCATCAAGAGCTATGTAGACGAAAAAGCAGATAAAGCCTCTTGTTCAATAAACTATGAACTGCATATTGTGGAAGACTGTGAGAGCAATTTGGGTTTTTGCCCTATTGTTGGACTTTTTGCCTAAGCATCTATTCTTATTTGTTCTGAGACAAGATGGACCTTTTTTACCTTTTTTCTGAGTCAGTGCTGCTGTAATGATGAACTTGCAGAGTTGATTTTCATGTCTTTTTTTTTTTTTTTTTTTTTCTTCCAGTCTGTCTTTCTAGGAGAGATTCTTCAACATAGCAGCTGTTTGCCTCTTTCACATAGGAGGCAAATAGCTGTATGCCAGGGTGGGTCTCTGTAATGACTGTATGCCTTTAAGATTAATTTTTAAGAGGTCAGGGAGAGACATGTGATCTTTACACTATGGGTTTAAAAAAAAATATATATGTATATGTATCTGTACTTCTATTTAGCTTTAAAAAGATGAAAAATGAAAACAGTCCAGAAACCCAAAGAAGTAAAACAAGCGCACCATGGGAGGAAAATGGCCCACAGAGGTAAGATAAGGCATGATGTTTTAGGTATTGTGCAATGGTAAATATCATGCTGTGGCAATAGATTGAACGATATTGATATAATACATTAGTGTATTAACAGGTTCACAATAAATCTGTATTGCATATAAGAGGATAGGTCCTGTCATGGATAAGTAATCAGTTAAAAATTAGGAAAGTAGGTGTATGAGGGTGTGGTCAGTGGATGAGAGTCACCTGTGGTTTTCTGCAGACATCTGCTCATAGACCTCTGCTATTAAGTATATTTGTCAAAGACCTGGAAAAGGGTTGATAGAGTTTGGTGATGGGACAGAATTATTTAGGATAATGAGAGTGAAAATTGTCTGTGAAGAGTGGCAGAAAGACTCCTAAAATATGGGTGATGAGTCATTAGATGATGAATGATGTTGAGTCAGTAAGTGTAAAGAAAGGCACAGAAGGGCAAAAAAATAACCCTAGATTTCTGAGTAAACTGAGGTGCTGTGGAATTACGATGGATAACTTAATGAAAACATCAACTATGTAGCAGTCAGAAAAAACAATTAGCAATTATTAGGAAAACAAGAGAACAATATTATGCCATAACATAAATTTGTGGATCACATATTTGCTCCATACGTTGTGAGTGCAGTTCTGATGTCCTTATCTGAGGAAAAGGAAAAGGCTTTGAGGGAGGCAGAAAGGGCAATCAAAGGTGTGAATGGTTTGTGCAAGAAATCTGTACAAGAAGAAATGGCATAGGCTAGGCAGGACTCTTTCTTCAGTCTGGAAGAGATAATTTCAGAGGATGTGTTCTAGAAAATGAGTAGTACAGAGAAGGAGATCAGGATTGTATTTTTCCAGCATAAGACCTTGGGATCTTCAGATGAAGCTGTAGGAGGTAATTTAAAAATGCCGAGAAAGGTAGTGAGTAGCGACTTGCCATGAGTAGGAGACCTGTGGTTCTCCTTTACAAGGGATACTGGAAGTTAGTGGATTCCTGGGAGAAGCTGGGTGAGTCACGGAATAGAAATTCCCAAGGGCTTCTGAAGACAGAGGTATAGCAGCTGGCTCAGTAAGTTCCCTGGACTGGGAATAGTGGGGGGCTGAGAGAGCACTGGGGAGCTGTCATACATCTTCAACTTTTTGATTCCTGTAGATGGTTGTTTTTGGTCACTGTTGGAAACAAGCCACTGAACTAAATGGCATATTAAGTGTAATTCAGAATGGTTCTACTTTTATGTGATGATTCATATCTAGATATGGTGTGTCTTCTGGGACACCATGGTGGTTTACCTTTTGTGCTCCTTCTGGAAACATCAGAAGTTTTCAGGACAAGGCAGTATGCAGATATTCTCTTGTGAAGGTAAATGTTTATTTGTGGTTTTTAAAGAAGAAGTAGTGTCAACTTGTCACATTATGGCTTCAGTGTTAAAAGTGCTCTCAGGATAGCAGGAAGTTTGATTCCCCAGGAGGCAAAGAATGGTAGGGTTGAGTTTTTGCAAGTTCATCTATTTTAAGCACCACACATTTTTAGACACATAAGCAGAGTATATGCTGCACAGAGGCTTTCACGACTTCTAATAATAATTCTTATTGAGAGGAACTGTGGCAACTGTGCAGAGCAGCGCTGTAATCACCAGAAGTAAGCAAAGAGGGAGGTATCCAATTTGAAGGCTAGGGTGTTTTAGGAAAGCAGAAATACCTTAACTGGAATTTGGTGATAATATCATATTTAACACCTAATTGTTGTGAAAAGGGCTAAGGAATGTTAGATAAAGATGTGTGGTTGAGTTTAGCATCCATCCTCCAAAAAGTCATGGGACATCAGTAGACCACCGTAGAGTGATATGTACTCGTAGAGTGATATGTACTCTATCGCAGGCTCTGTTAGACTGTTGGAAGATACCTTTACACTTCTGTAGGAAGGTATCACAGGATAATCTATACAGACATTTGATAGTCTACATCTAATTCAGTAACAACCCAACCCCCTGAGTCCCACCCAGGTTTAAGTACCTAACCTGAAGTTTGAAATACCTCCGCACCATTGGCAGGGGGTTGCATGGATGAACAGCAGAGAACTGGAGCTAAAATTATTTCACGGTCCCGAGCATTAGCTCTGTGATGAAGACGTGTGTTGTGACAGGAACAGTCTTAATACTTATATCTATGAAAAACATAAAGAATAGAAGTGCATTTGAATGCCTAGCTCTGGGTTGGATGACTCATACTAAAGCACAGAAATTTTATTATGCTAAAAGAATATGTATACACTTGGCTCTACATTTTGTAAGCTTAGAGCTGTTGGTGTGGCAATGCTAGGAGATCTCTTTCCTGCATTTTCAAGGTTCAACGTAAAATATTTATTGCTGGAAAGCAGTACCATTATTTACATAGCATACACACACACATACATGTATAGCTGAATATGTATTTAAGTGTGTGTGTGAGCCTTGCCAGCTTTTATAGGCTGAATCTCAGTCAGCTGGCCTAACTGTCCTGGAGGTTTTAAAGCCAACTGTTTGCTCTTCCTTTTTAACCCTAGTGGGCTGTATAATTCTCCCAGTGACCGCAATAAATCACCAAAGTTTCCTTACTCTCGGCGACGGAACCCATCAGGTGGCAGCGAGAATGAGTCTGGTCAGCCAGTTCGGAGGAGGTAAGAGCCCTGGGGTTAATTACTGTTAGCTTCTCACAATAGCAAGCTTGAGGTCCTGCATGCTCTGCCTTAGTAAAAGCTCTTGGAGACACAGCTGGGTCCTGGGAAAAGGGGTATTCTAGGGGCCAGTTGTTATCCAAAGAAAGCCTGAACAAGAATACTAGATATGCTTTTGGAAGCTTTTGTCATGCTTTTTGCTTGTGTGCTGTTATGGGTACTGAGAAAGTTACACTAAAACTATGAGAAATTGCATTATTGGCATGTGCAAAATCCTTTCGGTTGCTGCAACTGTTTTTCCCAGGTGAAGGAAAGTATTGATAGATGTTGCTTGCTTGACAGTGAGCTTCTACTACAGAAAAGTATTTTGTTTTAAGTACATTTCTTTGCTTTAAGCACAACAAAGTTTAAAGGAATGAACCATAAAGCTGTCTGCAACAGTCCCGTGTGTGAAATACTTTATATTAGAGATGATGCTGGCAAAAATACAACTATAAGATACTTAATGTGTTTTTAATGGGTACGTGCTGAATTGAGTAACCTAGAGAAGTAAAATTAAATGGATGGAGATGCTGTGCTGTGTGTCCTGGAGTGTCTGAAATGAAAATTACAGAGACAGTTCTGAAGTGATACAGTTTTGAGAGACTACATGGTACCTGGGATGATTTGTCGTGCTGTGAAGCTGCTTTCATCACTGGGATACTGAGGTGCTGTGATCTGTTGTAAAGTATAGACAGGCATAGCTGCTGTGCCGTATTCACTGCAGTCTTCTAGGACTGCCTTACGAGTCAGCACCTGGGAGTTACATCTTCTGACATCTCTGAAGCGATTAGCTGTTGGGCTTTCAAAGCCAGGGTTTGCAAAGGGGTCTGACGATGCAGCTATATCTATGAGGAAATCTAGATTGGTGTGGAGCTTTTATATGATGTGGAGTCAAGGTTCTGAGCTGCTCCAGACATTTTATCTGTCATTAGCTGTCTAGATAAGGAGTGAAGAAACTCACCCATGGTGTATTCTTAGTGACTTCATGCTTGAGTGAAAGTAAATCAGTGTAGCTCTCTCTAAGTCAATAGTTACGTTGATTTACTCTGTTGGATAGAGCCCTCATAAGTGTTAATAGCACTGTGTTTCCTGAATGCATTTTATGTTTCGTTCCTAGCTTAGTTGTCAGAAGGACTTGTTGGGCTTTGTAAAACAAAGGGAATAGAGATGTGCAGTGCAAAACTGTCTTGTACCAAGAAAACAAGTGTTTTTGCACTATGCAGTAGGGAGTTTTTTGAGATGCAAACTGTTTATCATCTGGGATTTGCATTTGGCTGATCTACTCAGTGGACAGGTAGTCATGCCAATAGCAAGTTTTCTCTTGGGCCACCACACCAACAAAATGTTTTTAAAAGTCTTATCTCATATGTGAGACTGTGGAGACTGACAATAGTAGTCAGATTTCTAACCTAATTATGTCTTCCTGAATCTTGGTTTTATTCATGCATTTTCCTTTTTCAGCTGTTTAATAACAATAGCCATGTTGTTTGTGCAGTCTTTACTGGAATTAAGAGGAAAACATCAGGCTTTGCTATGCTGGAAACAATAGGAAACTAAAGACCAGCATACTGTGCTTAACCTTGCAAGTCAGGGATTTGCAATGAGAGTTTGAATGGGATTGTGCCTTTGCAGTTTACCGCAGAGGTGTCCTGAAAAGTTTAAAACAAGCACATGCCCTTTTTTGTCTGCCTTAAATCATGCTGAAAAAAAAAAAAAAAAAAAATTAAAAGAAAGGTTTGTTGTTGGTTTGTTGGGGTTTTTTTTTGTGTTGTTTGTTTGTTTTTTGTTTGTTTTTTGTTTGTTTTTTTAAAAAAAAGCTGGGAGTTTTTGTGTATTTGTGTTAAGTGACCTGATGGTATTTCAGTAAAACTTCCTTAATGTCACAGGAAAAATCAAAACAGTGGCGAAGATTCAGATTTAAAGCAAAGGAGAAGGTAAATATGTTATTTATAGTAGCCATGAAATGATAGTGAAGGTACTGATCATATTTTAGTTCCCTGTATCCCCTCCCTTCTTTCCTTCTCCCCTATCTTGTTAAACGTTTAAAAGGCTTGTTGTGTTCCACCCATTTAATTTTTTCTTTCCTATTGTACTTTTGGTAAAACACCCCATCACAGCACAGATTCCTACAAGCTGCCTTGCATATTGTTACTGTAGTATGCTAGAAGCAGTTTGTGGAAGCTCACTAAAGGCTTGTCTGCAACTTGAAAGTCAATACCAGAAGTTTTAGCTGTTGGATTTTGTATCTGCAGATTTTGGTTTGAGTTCTCCAGCCTCCTAGTCTACTTTAAGTAATCTGTTTTGAAAGCAAGTGTACTGACATTTGAGATTAATTGTCCTGCAGAAGATAGGTGCAGAGGCATATGAACATCTTATGATCTCCTCACTGTCTTGCGCATTGTTTTGCTGACTTTTTTGCTTTTTTTTTTTTTTTTTTTCTGAGCAGTCTTGACTAGTTGTCACATTTCCAAATAAAATGCTGGTGTGAATTCGGGAGTGCCCTTCAACAACTTCGGCTTTTTACAGATCTTTGCATCTGGAGTTCTCTAGTGCCACATCTGCCTGTCATGACTCTGTGCTGTGCTTCTCCTCACTCCTGTGCTCCTGCCCTGGCTGCTGGAAAAAGGAGACAGTGCAGTGCATTTCAATGTCAGAGTCTCTTGAAGCTTGCAGAGGAGAGAAGGCACTCACAGGATCTGATCCACTGCTGCAGCATGGGAAAGGAGCTCTGGCAGAGATACAAACATCTCTGGGACAATCACAGGAAGTCAGGGAAAGTGCTCACATACTTTGCATCTATTATAAGATAACAGGCTGTTTTTTTGAAGGATATTACCATTACAAGCTGCCAATAATAGTCCTGTGGTAGATGTCCAGCACATAAAACTGAGAGGATTTAGTTAGGCATCTCAGGTGGAAACCCCCAGTGTTCAGAAGGGACCTCTTCGCAAAGGCTGTGCCTGGTGTATTACATTACAAATGTACAGGTTTGTTATTGTATATGGGAATAGATATTCTCCACTTCCTCACAGTTTGGCTATCTCCTGTCATTTTAATCAGAAAAGGACTGCACCAGAATACGAGCCTTCTCTGTCAACTGTTTCTCTGAAATACTAAAACCTGCAGCCCACCCCCAAAAGCCCCTCGTGGGCTGTATTTGTTCTTGCCAAACTAACTATGCCTTGTTTCTTGCTCCTTGTTTCAGACCATGTAGGTATACCACGTGCAAAATATGAAATATATTGCATGATCAAGAAAACGGGAGAAAAAAGAATGCTTTGTAATTGTCAGAGATCAGGATGATGTCACATATTCATGTACCTGACTTAGGAAACCAACTTTGTTCCCATTTTTGGTGTTCTATTCAGTTCAGTAGAAGCTGATGTTTAATATTCAGTGAAAGATAATATTCTGACAGCCAGCATGAACAAGTGCCAGTCAGCTGACAACTCAGCAGCTCTTCTGTTTCCCTGCAAGTGCTTCCTGACAGGCAACACATAGTAATGTGATGTGCAGTATCCAAAAGGTGGATCAGATTTCCATTCCTGAAAAGCTGGAGGGAGGCTTATCTTAAATTTGAGTAAATAGGATGTTTTATCTCACACTTCTGCCAGGATGTGATTTTTGCTGCCTTAGTACCTTATGGGATAAATTGCTTAAATCAGAGCAAGGAAATATTTGAAGTGCTGAGAAATGTAGAACAGAGTCACTCTGATGACCTGGAAGCATGAAAGAACAGTGGTGCTTGGGTGAGAATGAGAATGTTGAGATTCAAGATTAGGGGAATATTTATTAAACATCTGTTAAGATTTTGGGGAAACAAAGGTATTCTTTTGGGCATGTAAGGCCTGCTGCAATTCTAGGGCACTTACTGCTCTGAACTCTCTGAATGTTCTCAAGCCAGTCATTTGGATACCACCATCTTTTAATCTTTATTCTTCCTTCAGGGTTACGTTTTTCTGTAGTAACATATGTCTTTCTTATCCCCACTTAGAGCTTCACTTGGAAATATGTATTTTCACCTGGGAAGCTGGCTATCCCGAGCCTCTCAGCTTTAAGTTATGATCCATGAAATCTGGGGATGGAATGAAGTTTCTGCTTCTCCTCTGGGGAAATTTCACTTTTCCAAACCTATTCACTTCAGACAAGCTGGGTTGAACTGATTTTCCTAGGCTTTATTCTCCTGTTACTCTAAAACTTTTCTGTTTGAAAGAAAGCTATTTGAATTAATGATTTCCTGCTTTAGGAGAGTTGGGGGACCAGATTCCTTAGACTGACTCATTTAATGACACAGCAATTTGATAAAACCAACCATAATTCACTGGTATTATGAGTAAATTCATAAGACTGTCAGCTGTGTCAGAAGGACATCTACAACAGTGTCCTAATTTCAGAGGCATAGATTAGAGTGATGTGCCCCTGACCAGATACAACACTCGGGGGTGGCCTATGCTGCAGCTATTCTGTTCCCTAGGAAGTCTCTCTCATCTTCTCATCCTGTTTGGACTCTTCTCCCTAAACTGTTAGAACTTGCGATGAGCTGGTGCTTGTGAGTAGCCTCCAACTTTGTCATGAAATGTTTCCCCTTGTCTGTTACCTACACCTAATGAACTGCATTCACTCTTCAGCTTGTCTGAGGTGTAGTTTAACAAATCTGTGCTCTTATGAAAGTGGCTAATCAAGGAGCAAAAGGAGTACCAGGAGGCACAAGAAAGTATGTGTGTTTACCAGCAGCATCAGGAGTTATTTCCTTATGTCTTCTGTTTCATGCCCAGAGACCTCAGCTGAAGATTTCTGTTTTCCATTACAGCAAAACCATCACTGATTCTAACTCTTGATATTCTAAATCCTTCTAGCCCAGCTCATGTTAATATTGGTCAGCTTTTCCCATTAATCAGCTGGGCCGTCAGTGTCGCAGAGAAGCATGTTTTTCTTTGGAGGCGTTCAGAGACCATCGTCCACTGAAGAATGCTCCAAACCAGGTTTTGATGAGAGTCCCATTTTTTAGGACCTAGCCCATTGGTACAGTAACAGAGCCCTGATTTCTAGGACCAGAGCCCTGACAGCTGGTCTGTCTGCTCTAAAATGTTGATCAGTGACAATCAAGGGTTTAAGGATCTCAGATAGTAGTTGCCAGGCACTCCTGTCTACTGAGAGAAGTTTGCCTCTAGGTAGGCGTATGCCCATTTTCTTCACGATGTTCAGCATCAGCCTGTTCCACCAGTCTTTTTCAGTAATAAATAATCAAAACCATAGATGTCACCTTACCATTTGAAGCTTTGCAATTAGAGATGATACAGACGTAATTGCTTTATATCTTTTTCCTCACATGACTCACCATCTTTGTCGCTGTGCATCGGGTTATCCTGAAGTAATGCTGATACAAATATCTGCCAATGTGTGCACTTCAGCCTTTCTCTATTTATAAAGATCAGCAGAATCAGTGTTAGTGGTATTTCTTCCATACTGCCTGAGACTTGAAAAATTATGTGATCTTACTAGAAGCCAGATGGAAGTTGAGTTGAAGAGAAAAAGACAGATCTGATGAGCATTTTGTTTTGCCTCCAGAACCAGAATTACTGTATTGTTTCTCTTGGGTGTCCCACAGTATGCAAGAAGGAAAGAGCCAGAATGCATACAGTTTAAAAATTAAACATTTCATACCTCAAAGAAACATTTCACTGTGGTGTATACACAAATAATGCCGAGGGATAAGATAAAATTAACAAAAATGCAGTGCAATGATTCAAAAGGAAAATAGCACTTACGTGACACTGCAGTCTGGGTGCACAATTTTCAAAGCAGTTACTCCCAATCAGTTAATGAGAAAAAGGTAGTATGACTTTCAGGTGTAGACAAGCCCTCTAGAGTCTTTTAATTCTGATTTTCCTGGTAACATCTTTGCAGTGTTGTTCATTCCTTGTTTAGAACTTCAGTACTTTTGATGTTAGTAGATCAATTCATCTTGAGATGTTGCTTTTCTCCTCTCCAGATCACGTTCTCGCTGTAACACCAGCAGTGGCAGTGAATCAGAAAATTCCAACAGAGAGCATCGGAAGAAGAGAAACAGGTGACCTTTAAATATTTTAGACATAGAAACATGAAACAAAAGAATGGATATGGACTTTTCTGAGATAGACCTAGTAAGAAGAAATCATGTATACATATAAAACATTAACATGTTTATACAGTGCTCCTGAGGCAGCTTAAGGTCCTTTTTTGAGTAAGAAGGGAGATAATTGCCAAACGCATGTACATCATAGGTGTATGCAATGAATGCATACCCTCCTGTTGCTTGGGAAGAACTCATTAATGAACAGTAAAATCAAATATGTGGCACATTTACAAAAGACTTGCAATATTAATGCAAATAAAGTGGATAATGGTGATGACAAGATAATCAAAGCAGGTACTTAATACCTCAAAGATTTCAAGTGCAGAATTTTAGCAGAATGTAAGCTTCTGAGGAGAACAGTAAAAATATTTTAATGGATCTGAAACTATTGTTGTACTGATTTATTGTAGTGTAATCAGCTATTATAGGACAACAGTAGTTAATATCAAATGATGCTAGTGAGTTTTGTTTTCTATATTCTATTTTTCTTGTTGATATGAAAAAGCTTAACAACTGATTTATTGTAGCAAAAAACTTCATTTGAAAACGCAACTTATATGTTGCACTTGAGATAACAGCATTTGAGAGTTATTTATGAAAATGTATTTTTAAAAATCACATAGAATTTCTTCATATTGCATAAACAGAGCATAAGAGAAACGTCACTGGACAAAAAAAAAATGAATTGTTTAAGGCAAATCTTCTAAGAAGCTGTCTGTACAAGCTGCCATAGTTTCTTGTTGTCTCACATGCAGTAACACGAGTGATAAGTGATTTTCAGGTATTTGGAAGCTCTTAGAAATAATTATATGCTAGATAGTGCTGCATAAGTGTGCATTATAATATTATTTTAAGCATGACTTGCAGTAGTTAAAGAGATGCTAAAAATCATTGTGACATTCAAATGGGCTGGTATGATGCATGTCTGAGCCATGCCATGAGATTTCTTTGGACTGTACTTAAATTAGATCCCAGTCTTGTGAGATACTAAGCTAACAGCAATCTAGTATGCGTGGAAGGTTTGTTTTCCAGGTGAGCTCTGAAGTTTGAATTAAATGCTGAGTATAGTTTCAGTGATCAGTAGCTAAATGGTATGTGGTATCCCTTTCTCTTAGAATAGTCTTGCCAGGTTTTTTTCTTCTGTGAAACTTGTTCAGGGGGCTCTACAAGCAAGTGAAGGAAATTAGAAACTGACCACAAGAAGGTTTTTAAGAGCTTCTTGCAATATAGACACTGAATTCTAAAAAGGATTAAGTACTGCTTATAATTTTCTGAAGAATAAAAGGGCCTTTACCAACCCTTCCTTACCTCATGGGAAAGTGCTTAAAATTAAAAAGAAAAAAAAATTGTATGGATTGTATTTATATTTTTCACACTTTCAGAAATGTAAGATACATCAAAAACATTAATGTTTTAGTATCTCTTACTCTTAGGTGATCACTTGAAATCAGACCAGATAAAAAGCCATTATTAGTGTTAAAGTAAACAAGTACTAAATGGGCTGGAGTTCTGAGACTTGTTCCTTGTCATCAGGTGCAGGAAAATCAGCAGTCATAATGAATCTCTGCATTTTCTTAGCAGCCACAACAGGAATATAATAAGATGAAAGTGCACATGCACTGAATAGCTTTCCTGTTAGCAGAGGTGAGCCAGCCCTTAGAAGGTTAAGTGGGGCAATATAATCAGGCTTGCAACTGCTGTTACTCAAGTTTTACCTGTTGCACAGATTAATACTAATTTATTTCTCAGTACGATAATGGCATCCTAGCACAAGCAGACACAAACTTATTGTTTTACTGGAATAAAATGACTGAATACTCACATTATCCCAAAAGAGTCTGCGTCTGATCATGGAAGAGTAGAATATATTGTTCACATGAGAAGAGATCACTGTGAACTATTTATCAGCTGAAAACAAATATCAGAGAAAAACAGAAATGCAGGTGAGAACTTCTGGAACAACAATTGGAAGAAGGTTAGGGAGAAACTCTTTACATGATCTCAATCAGTCTTTGAGGTTTCACTCCATCATATTAATGTTTTATCCTTAGCAGATGTTCTTATGAAATTGAGGAAGAACCTATGATGAGCATATTTCAATCACAGAAGAAATGTATTTGCTTTTTTTAATGCTGTGGTCAAAATTTCTTGTGTCAATAAAAATATTTTAAACTTGTAGACAGTGTGTACTGGAGCATAGTCTTCTGCCTATCTCACTACACTTAGAATATCCATCTGATTAGAATCACAGAATATCTGAATGGTTGAGGTTGGCTGTGTCCTCTGGAGGTCATCTGGTTCAACCCCCCTGCTCAAGTGGGGCTACCTAGAGCCAGTTGCCCAAGACCGTTCCCAAATGGCTTTTGCATATCTCTGAGAATGGAGACTCCACCACCTCCCTGGGCAACCTCTGCCAGTGCTTGGTCACTGTCACAGGGAAGAAGCGTTTCCTGATCTTCAGAGGGAACCTCCTGTGTTTCAGCGTGTGTCCATTGCCTCTGGTCCTGTTCGGTGGTGCTGGGCACCACTGAAAAGAACGTGGCTCCATCCTCTCTGCACTGTCCCTCAGGCATGTGTATCCATTGATAAGATATCCCCTGAGCCTTCTCTGGGCTGAGCAGTGCCAGCTCTCACAGCCTTTCCTCACAGGAGGGGTGCTCCAGTCCCTTCATCGTCTCAGTTGCCCTTTGCTGGACTCTCTTCAATATGCCCATGTCTGTCTTGTACTGAGGATCCCAGAACTGGACACAGTACTCCAGGTGTGGCCTTCCCAGTGCTGAGAAGAGGGGAAGAATCACCTCCTCTGACCTGCTGGCAACACTCCTCCTAATGTAGTCCCGGACACCATTGCCCTTCTTTGCTATGAGAGCACGTTGCTGGCTCATGTTCAACTTGGTGTCCACCAGGATCCTCATGGCCTTTTCTGCAAAGCCACTTTTCAGGTGGGCATCTCCTGGCATGTACTGGTGACTAGGGTTGTTCCTCCCCAGGTGCAGGAGTTTGTACCTTCCCTTGTTGAACTGCATGGGATACCTGTTGGCCCATTTCTCCTGCGTGTTGTCATCTCTCTGGATGGCAACACAACTGTCTGGTGTATCAGCCACTCCTCCCAGTTTGGTGCCATGTGCAAACTTGCTGAGGGTGCACTCTGCCCCATCATGATGAAGATGATAAACAGGACTGGACCCAGGATTGATCCCTGGGGTACATCAGTAGTTATTAGCCTCCAGCCAGACTTTGTGCCTCTGATCACCATCCTCTGGATCTGGCTGTTCAGCCAGTTTTAAATGCACCTTACTGTCTGCTCATCCAACCCATACTTCAACAGCTTCTCTATGAGGATCTTGTGGAGAGACAGCATCGAAAGCCTTCCTGAAGTCCAGGTAGACAAACTCTCCTCATCTACCAAGCCAGTCATTTTGTTGTAGAAGTTTTTCAGGTTGGTAAAGTGTGATTTCACCTTGGTGAATCCATGGTGACTACTCCTGGTCTCCTTGTCCTTCGTGTGCTTGGAAATGGTTTCCAGAATTAGCAGCTCCATTACCTTTTTGGAGTTAGAGGCAAGGCTGACCAACCTGTAGTTCCCTAGGTGCTCCTTCTTGAAGACTTGAGTGACATTTTCTTTCCTCTAGTTTTTAGGCACTTCTTTCAATCACCATGTTCTTTCAGAGATCATTGAGACAGGCCTTGCAATGTCAGCCAGCTCCCCCTGCACCTGTTGGACCATGGATTTATGTATGCCCAGTTTGCTTAAGACTTGTCTGACCTGATCATCTTCCACCAAGGGTACGTCTTCCCTGCTCCAGCCTTTTCCCCTGGTCTCTGGGACCCCTGAAGGCTGGTCATGCTAGTAAAGATTGGTGAAGAAGTCATTCAGTCCCTCAGCCTTTTCCATGTCCTGTGTCACCAGGTCCCCTGTCTCATTCAGCAGCAGGCCCTAGCCTTCCTTTGGTCACCTGTCTACTTATAGAAGTTCTTGTTGCTTTTAACATTCCTGGCTGGATTAAATTCCATTTGGGCTTTGGCTTTCTTTGGCATTCTTTGGCATTCCTGCATGCTTGGGTAATGTCTCTCTATTCCTCCCCCATACTTCCTTTTTGTGTTTGAGCTTTGTCAGAACCACCTTGTTTTTCCACGCAGGACTCTTCGCATTTTTTCCTGACTTCCTACTCACTGGGATGGTCTTTTCTTGAGCTTGGAGGAGGTGATCCTTGCGTATTTACCAGCTTTCTTGGGTGCCTTTTGCCTCCAGGACCTTAACCCACTGGACTTTTCCAAGGAGATCTTTGAAGAGGCCAGAGCCTGTTCTTCTGAAGTCCAAGGTTGTGATCTTATTTTTCCCTTCCTCTCTCCTCTCAGGGTCCTGAATTGCACCATCTCATGGCCACTGCAGCCAAGGCTGCCTTTGACCTTCATACCATCAACGAACCCCCGTTGTTGTACATTGTACCTAAATGATAACTTTGCAATCAAATATTTTGAATAAGATTCCAAGAATCAAATCTTAAGAGCTGGTTAAGAGAATTTCCCGTTGCATAAACATAGCTTGCCATCCTATCACCTGAAATGGGAAAAAATATCTCACAGTCAACAGATGAGTGGTGATAGTCTCATGACTTTCCATTTTACCATCAAATCTTCCTGCAAACTGCCTAATTTGTTGTTGTGATGACTATTAATCTCAACTGGATTTATTTCATATGCCAGTAAAAAGGTTTTTTTTCTACAAGGCATAAATCAACTTGTTTCCTTGTGGGATCAAAAAGTGAAAATAATGAAAGGAAAGTTATAATGGACTTGGAGTACAAGGGCAGCAGTTTTTTGTCAAAAATATCTTTAAAATAGAAATTTAGGTTTTGAGTTAAATTTCTTTCCACTTTCTTAATTATTTTTTTTTTGCTTGTCACCTCTGTTGCCAAAGAGGTAAAGATTTTGCCCCAGAATTTTGATAATTTGATTGTTCCATCTAAATAGTGTATTTTATGTAGAGATTGTGTTACTTTGGTCATCCTTTACATTGTTAAATGTGAGCACAGTACCTTTTTTTGCAGCTGCAAAATGAATGATTTATTTCTTTGTATCTCCATCTTACAAAGTTCTGCTGTGGTACAATAGTACTTTGGGTGTGCTGACATGGCTTGTTTCGATAACTGCCATGCTACTTTATGTATTTAGATTTTTGGTATTTTGCTCAAATTAAAGAGATAAAGAACAGTAATGAACAACTGCTTTGTGTTACAACAAGTAGAAGAAAAGAGGCAGAGTAGAAATGTGAATGCATTGCTAAGGACTGTGCTTGCCAGGCAGCAGTAGATGCGAATCTACTAGATAAGTAGAATGGACTGGAGCAGAAATTATGGGTTTACTCCCTTAATGAGAGGTCATTCGTGATCAGTGTGGAAGTGTGGCTTCAGACACAGGGGTGCAGGATCTCATGTGCCCTCTGCCAGAGTGTAGACCTTACACTCTTCTGTGTTCTGTGGGTTTCCTGAGAAGAATGAGTAGCTCTCAGTTATTTTATGGCAAACATCCGAATGCCTCCTCAAGGCACAGCTGTCTACTTGACCTGTTAGGAGTTACTGTCTGGGAGAGATGGGGTGAGGTACCAGCAAGCGGGCAGACCCACCACCCATGGCAGCAGCACTGGTCTGGCAGACGTGTGTCTTCTTTTTGTGCAAGTGACTGCCATATGTGAGGCGCCACTAATTGTGTTTATACCATGTGGGATGATTGCTGTCTCCACAAATTGAATTAGTTGGGATGAAAATCACAGTTCATTACTTGTTGCTGTGTGAGTTCTTCTGCTAAGTATTTAGAAGTTTATGTTAATCCCTGTCACCAGATTACAGGTTTAAAAAGATTTGGAAATCAAACCCTGATGTTGCAGTCTTCTCCAGATGCTCAGTACCATTTGGTAGAGTTGTAGCCATTTACAGTAGCAGGGGATCCAGCTCAAAATTTATGACACATGCCAGAGAAGATCTGATTAAAGGAAAAGCAGCAGCCTGTGTAGCCAGTTTAGCCTGATACTATTCAAAACTCAAGGAGAAAGGTACATCTGTAGTGGAGAGCAACAGCAACAGCATGCTTTGCATTTCCTATCAGTCATGTCTCCATTGTAATCCCTTTATCTCTGTTGGCTTGTTTGTTTGTTCTATCTGCCAGTCTTTCCATTTTTTGTTAAGCTCCCCAGGTTTCTTCACTATGCCGGTTGTACCATCCTATCAGAGGACCCACTCTTGGAGTGATATTTTTCAGGGTTGTTTCTAAATACCTGCTGAATTTTAAATTTACCTCTGTGACTAAGCATATCCATTTGTTCCACCTTAGCACTTCATCACACCACTTACATCTGTGACCTCAAAACTGTGAAGCATCTGTAGAGCTTTGAATGGCCAAACAATGGCATGCTGGTTGGCCTGGCTGATTGTGTCATTGTAGAGTTACTTCAGCCTGCTAACAAACATGGTGAATTTATAAGATTTTTGACATTTGCTTTAATGTGTGCTATGTTCCCACAATGGACTTACGGCTTTAAAAAAAAAAAAAAAAAGAAATAAAGACACATTATGTCATTTAGAAGCACACAACCAGAGACAGGGGCTGCAGCCCCAGGGGATGGTGCAGAAGAGGTGCAGTGACAGGATTAAATGTGTCTGGGGCAGACAGGGAGATCTGCATGCATCCTGGGCTTTGCTGCAGGTCAGGGTGAAGGGACCGCTTCTTCAGGAACTCACCAAGAGCATGCCTGGGGCATTTTCCCTGGATCCTAGGAAGATGTGTGCTGCAACGTGCAATGAAGCATTTAAAAAAGTTACAGTAATAGTGCCTTGTATCATGATGTGGTGCTTACACTTGCTGTAGATAAGGTGTGCTGGAATATGAAAACATTGACTTGGGCTGGGAAGACAAATTCAAGTTGTGTGCCTGTTCTTAAAGGCCTATGTTGTTTCATTTTTGGCTTGTGCTGTTTCTAAATAAATCAGTGAGTTTTCTTTGATACAGGTTCTTACATTTTAATGTAGTTTGGAAACATTAATTAAAATTTAGCAAGATGAAAAGTTAAAGTACTGTGTTGCAGGAGCTGGGGTTTTGTGGGAAAAAAATACCCCATTGCTTCTCAGAGCATTTTGCGTCTGAGATCTCAGACTAAACTCCTGGTACTTCTTTTGCAGATTACGGCAAGAGAATGACATGGTTGATTCAGCTCCTCAGTGGGAAGCTGTGCTACGGAGACAAAAGGAGAAAAACCAGGCGGATCCAAACTACCGACGATCCAGGCACAGATCACGATCGTATGTAACCCTTGCCCTCTTTGACATGAAAATTAAGGCTGCTGTAGCATGGTAAAAAGCAGGAGGAGTATCTGCAGTGTGGTGGCCCTCAACTGCTGAGGAGCAGAGACTTTCATGTGGCACATTCTCACATTAGCAGATTTGTTTTTGTCGTCAATCTCCCTTCGTATAGCGATTTGAAGTTTGAGGCACAAATAATGCAGGAATGGCTTTGTATCAGATCTGGTCAGGAACTCTCTCCGTCACCTTGGATGGAGTCCTGGATGATTTTGTGGCTCACTGAGCATAAGTTCTGTAATGAGGACAGCGATTCCTCTTTTCCGGGCAGCAGGTCTGTGAAAACATTCAGATTTTGAATGATATGTGCAAGCATTTTTGTGAAAGGCATGCACACACTTGTTTAATCATATAATGTCCACGGTGTTGTTCCAGATGAGACCAGCTGCTGATGCTTCCATGTCAAATTACCACTGGCAAGCAGCAGTCAGTGATTTATTGCATCCTGATGTCAGGATTTCCATGATGGAGCTGTGCTGTTCCTGCTGACAGCCTGTTTTGACATGGTGACGTTGTCAGCTTCTAAAACTATTTTTTTCAAACTAATGAAAATGCTGGTTTCTTTTGATTTTTGTTTTTCTTCTAACAGCATGTTTTGGGGGTATGGAGACACTGTTTTGTGTCAGGTTTGTGTCCAGCCTAATTTGCTGTCCAAGCAACCATCCAAAGCAAGCACCAGCATCAGCGTGCCCAGTGGGCAGGGCAGGGCAGGGTAGGGCAGGATCCAGGGTGCTAAAGAGTGCCAGGAGAACAGCTGTGAGGCACTGGAAGAGAAGGCAAGAGAGCAGTCTTTGAAACTATATCCACCCTCAGTGCCTGGCTAACATGGATGAATCGCCAGCCCTGATGCTGATGGTGTAACATGTGACCTCTGTAATGCACTTCCACAGGTATTTCCTGTTAATGTCTTTTCTTAAATTTACATTTCATGTTAAGACTTTCTGAGAGAAACTGTATAGTGCCTTAAATGATTATTTCATTCATACCAATTGAAACTGTAAGGTGTACTGAAGTTTCCAGTATTAAAATCCACTTGAGTTTGGTTTTCAATTGCTCGTTTCTGTCTCCAGTTTCATAGAGTACAGTTTTCATTCTTTTATGAGAAATAGAATTTGCCATTAAAATTCCAAATGTTGGCATTTCTGCTGTAACTGGCTTTGTACAGACTTGTTCACTTTCAGCTGCACAAATGTCAAATATTATTAGGTGTAATTGTACAATGATACATCACTAAAAATCAGGAATATTAAAGATCACTTGTATGGAATCCACAAAATATAGCTGATTAAGTTTGATTTACATTTTTTTACTATATACAGAAAGTGCTGTAAACTAGGAAATGTACTCATTTAATAATGGTTAGATTAAATTTATAGCCAACTTCTCTTTTTTTTTTTTTCCCCACAGGCCAAGTAAATTTAATTGCTTGGACAGCACAGGCTCCCTCTTGTGGCTAACTTAACTTATGAAATGGCTTTTATTTTCCAGCACAGTGACATTCTGAGTTACATTTTATTTAAATTACTATTAGCAAAACTCATAAATGTGTAGCATTTTACTTAACAAGGAAAGGTCCTAAAGGAAGCAAAGAAGCGAAGAAATTCTGACGTTTTTTGATGGCTTCTCATTTCTCTTCCCTGCTGTGTCAGTGATGAATAAATTCCTCCTTTTTGTCTCACTCTTCAGTTTAAAAAAGCAAAACCAAAACAACAAAATAAGCCCAAACCTCTCAAGTATGTCAGAGATTCTTAATATACACAAGTAGGAACTAAAGAAGTAAAGTGGGAATTCCATTCAAAATGCTTTTTAAAAAGTTTAGTAAAAGGAATTTAACTGTTAGCATGCAGTAGGTTATAGGAGCATTTATATAATTTGGTTTGGCTCAGCTGTTGTCTTATGTGACTATATGCAGGTCAGAGAGGAGTGAAATGTGATTCCCTAGGGTGTAGGGCATGGTTTTTGTTTTTAAATCTGGTCATATGGTCATTTAAATTTGCACATTTAACAGTTGATACAAAAACTTCATTTTAGTAGTACAGATAAGTTTCACTTTAAGTTACTATTACAGTCAGCTTAACTTGAGGTTCACTTTGGAAGCGTGGAGTAATGGCTGAAATATTTGTTACTGTGCCTGGCACAGTGCATTTCATTTGATAATGAGTATTATTAATCATTGGTGGTGGTGAGGTGGTGTCTCCTTGGCCTCAGGAATAAAAATATTTGACAAGAATTTGACCTTTCTTTCTCCTAAAGGAATCAGCAAATGGAGAGTACTCCCAATTCTAGTTCTACAGGGTTTATTTTCAAGAGTTCATGTAAAACATCTGTGTAGCCAAAGGGCTTTTTTTAATTAAGAATGGCCATTAAAATTCCATGGCTATTTAAATTTACCATTTGTGTCTCAAACTGAAATACTAATAAGGGTGCAGATGCAGACATGAAAAATAACATAGCCTTTATTAATGTGTAGAGTTGTTAGAGCTTGTGAAAACAAAATAAAAATTAACAAAAAAACCCCTGGAGATTCATGACTTACTGGGAATTCCCATAGGTTTCTTGTGCATTAGAGAATCTGATTAGCGTATAAATTGTCCAGAAGCTATTGATTCAGATACTGCACTAAGACAATCTGAGGATACATTGTGTGTCAAAACTGTTAGTTCTAAAGCATTTCACAGTAAAAGATGAAAACAAAGTGAAAGAGGGACTGTGATCTGGCTTTAAAGACACACTGGATGGATTTCTTTGTTGTGGGCTGTTAGGTACTATACAAACATATGTGTCCTATGCACTGTATGCAGTACCTACTTTTCATCTAAACTAAACCTTTATTTTTGTAAGCTTTTCTTCATTTTCCTTCACAGAAAGCAGAAACAGGCTTTGGAAGGAAAATGCTTGCATTAAGATATTTTATCTGTATCATATTTCTGGATATTCTTTTGTGGGGAGTAAACTTGAATGCTTTGAGGTTATCCCAGTATGGTAACACTTCTTAAACAGATGGAAAATAGATAATGTCAAGATGGGAATTCATAAAAGCAGTTTGCTCTGAGGAATCATAGTGTTTAGCCTTTTTCATGTGGTTTTTTTTTTTTTTTTTTTTTCATGGGACGCCATATTGCTAAACTGGTATTTTACAGCAGTGGCTTCCTTATTAGTGTATTTGCAGGGGTGGAAGGAGGGAGAATGGCGGAGATCACAGAATTAAATGCCTGGAGTTGACTGCAGAAAGCAAGAGGCAGAGTTTCTAGAAAATGGAGTAACGAAGATGACTTTTTATTTAACCAGTCTCCTTCCACACTGCCTCACAAATCAATATTTATTATTGTAGATGAGGCTTCACATGATGTTTGGTGATACAAAAGACTTAAGGCCACATCCTGAACTATTGCATTTCCATGAATAAGTAAAAGCCATGAGCTGATCAGATGGGTCAGTGGTGTGCACAATACTCAGCTTTGTGGGGATCCTGGGTTTGGGAGCAGCCCTGAGGCTTTGCTTCCTCAGGCAAACTAGGGCTTGTAAGCATTACAAAGCCTCCCTGGAGAAGCTGGCCTTTTCAGGGAGCTTTCACATTCCCCACTGCCTGATTATTCAGCCTCAGAAGAGGACGCCTATATTCCCAGCCCCAGGGTGAATGCAGGGTTTCCAGCTGCTATTTTGAGAGGGGGGTTGCATGGAAGGAGAAATCAATTCAAAACTGAGGGGTGAAAAAGGCTGTTAAATGCCACTGCATATCCAAGCTACTACATCAGGGAGTTAAAACCAGCATGGACGGATGTAAGGAGGAGTGAAGAAGTAGTAAATGCAGGGAGAAGGAGATGTAGGAGAAGTGAAAATCAGAGAAAATTAAATGCATTATAGTAAACACAAACACAATGCCACAAAAAACTCAGAGCACTGAGACAAATCAGACTACAATCTACTTGTGGCCGTAGCTGTTGCTGTCATGAGGACCCGAGTGGTCGGAACGGGCAGCAGAGCAGTCTGTCAGGGACAGGAGTCATTTGGGGTGGCTGCATCATGCTGCCTGGAAAGCCATCGCCACCCTGGAGCCTGAGAAGTTTATGGATTAGTTCATATTAGTCCCACTGGGAAATCACAAATCTAAGGCTGCTTCTCACCTTTCTGTCTGTCTCTGGTATTTATAAAGTGATAAACTAATACCTCCCAGCACTTCGGCAACTGTAACATCTAAAAAAACCCCCAAATCATTACCATCCCTAAAGAATCTGCCTTTACACCAAGTGTAAAACATTGACTGCAATAGAGATGTCTCTGAACATTATTCCTAGGCTGAAGTATGGAAATGAGCCAAACACAGTAATGGTGAAATAATAAAACAATGAAACTGTTAGTGCTAGAGAGCAGTTTGGAATTACTTCTGATACAGCTCTGTCACTGATCAAGGGATGCTAAAATGCAGAACTCTGCTGTCCATCTTGATCTTCTTTTAAATTTGGATTGTATCACTCCGAAAGCATGTTTGAATGTGATAGGCCCTTTTGTTCAAGGAAAAAAAAGCAAGCTGTAAGATCTGATTATGTAAGACTTAATCTTTGAGAAACTGTGACTTCAGTAGGAACGTTCATGCATGCTGAATCTGTCTAAAAGTTGCAATCCCGCATTCCCAGATGGTGTGGAACAGTCTAGCTGTCAACACTGAGTTTGTGTAATCCCAATGAAAAGAGTTATCTGATACGTCCATACAAATCTAGTTCCTGCCACTGTGTAGAATGCGTATTTAATCTATTATTGGGTTTTGGTGAATTCTAGGTGCAACTTCAGCAACAGTGGTGCTATTGCACTAACCCTGCAATAAAATAGTGTAAGAAAACTAAAAGGAGATACAGTTTGAAGACAGTATCTTCTGTAATTCAGTGGAAAAAGTGAGGCATGCCATTCAGGATTGCTTTACTACATCTCTGTTTGCAACAGGGAAATTACAATTTTGCTTAAATACTTTTTCTGTGAAAATACTTGCTAAAACATTTGTGTGTGAGAGTATGCATGGTTGCTGGTTTCATTTGTTTGTTGCTGTTTTTTTTGTTTTTGTCCTGGACATCACAAAGGTAAATTAAGTGAGCAGAAACCAGCCTTGGAAATGACCAGAAAGTGAGAGGCTATGGTATGATTGCAGCTGAGCCAGGGGTCCTCTTTACTGGTGTTCACTGGGACTGGCCAGGGATTACTGGTGTGTCAGCCTGGCGTGGCCTGTCTTTCCTCCTGCCCACAAAGGGCTCTGTGGGCCACAGGAGATTTCAGAGGGCGTTTTACAAAAGTGTTATTCCAAGAAAAACATATTGTGCTGGATAAGAGTTGACAGTAGCCAGGCACTGATTTGTCTTAGGAAGCTCTTCTGGTTTTTATATTTTCTGCATACTCTTGCTAAAGGCTAGTGGAACAGGAATTGTGATTGAGAACCTGTCATTCAGTAAATTACTTTTCAGTTGAAATAAAGCGATGAAGTTTAATGCATTTTCTGTGATAATACACCTTAAAATTGAATTCAGTGGTGGATTACATTTACCATGATTTCTGTGCAGGGTCTGTGCTGTTAAAAGTTATTTGAACAGCAACACATCAGATGATGGTTTTCACAGTTCTGCCTTTGTTGTCTTTGTTGGTATTTATAGAAGGAGCCCAGATGTACAAGCTAAAGAAGAACTATGGAAACATATTCAGTAAGTATGGTCCTTGTAGAGTTTGAGTGACCGCTTGGTTTGCCACTAATGTAGTTATTCACTAATCCCCTGCACTGTGGATGTAAGGCATTACACTCTGATTAGTTACATGCCACAATAAATTATGCGGATGTTAAGGACCTGCTATATGTAGAAGATACTGCAGATAACTGGATACACTGAATACAGATGACCATTGTATGTAGAGAAATTATTAAAGAATAATGCAGCATTTTAGAGATGTATTCCTCTGTGGCTTCCAAAATATCCTTGTTAGTAATACTGACACTTTTAGGATGAGGCCCCATATGCTATAGAACTATCAGTTAGGAAGATAGTTAGCTATTCCAAAGCACATTCAATGTTCAGTATACACAATGTTCATATATATTGTGAAGCAACAAGATCAGGTTTGCAGGGAGTCAAGAGGAAGGTAGAACAGGATGCAACATGCAGTTGAAGCAATCAAGGTGAAGTTAGACATGTTTCTTAATAGGTTTCCTATTTTGATGTCAGGGTAGCTTCAGGGCTGACAACAGCTTGTTTCAGTAAATCTTTTCAGTCTCATATAATAAAAATAAGAATGATTTGGCAGTTCGTAGCTACTGTTACATTTTTTACTTTGCCTAATCTTTCCTAGGAAGGAGCTTGTGGATCCATCTGGCCTGTCTGAGGAGCAGTTGAAAGAAATTCCATACACTAAAATTGAGTGAGTTTATGTCAGCATTTTTCTTTGTGAATATAAAAGCCCACTTTTCTTATGTTACTGTGAACTCTGTCACACTGAAGTAGGACTGGCTTTACACATAATCTCTAAGATTTTGTCTACTCCAAATCCTCATCTAGGATGGGTTGGGTGAGGATACCTAATAATTTTAAAACCTAATATTTTCTTTATTCAAAATACAAAAAAAAAAAAATATCTTCATCTCTCCCTGTCTTTCCACACACTTGTTAACCTGCCAGATGTCTGTATGTTCTATATGTCATCCATCAATCTGTTTTATGTTATACACTACAGAATCAGAGAGGACTGAATGCAAACAAGCAATCAATTTATTTACTAAACTTCTGCTTCCTTTCAAATTTTTATTCCAGTCATCTAAGGCATTGTTTGACCTGTTCAACCCCTTTCCTTGCTTGTCGTGGACAGCTGCCAGGGCATAGCTACTTCCTTAAGAATCGACATCTATTTCACTGTGATAATTGCCCACTTGGGATGGCATGTGCCAGTGCAAGCAGCTGCATGTGGCCAAGATGGGATCCCGGTTTGCATTATAATCTGTTTCCACAACACCACTCAGCACAAAATGTTGATGTTAAAGCTGTATATATTAGCGTATTCTTTATTAAATAGTTTCCTTCTCAAATATGGGCATGCCAGTTTATGACCTTAGCACTTTTGAAGCATTAAATTCCAAGTACAGACTTGTAAGAAAAGCATCAGCCTTTTAAATTCAGCCAGTGCAAGAAGACATCTGTTATACTTTAGTAAGAAATGGGAGGATCTCTCAGTCTGCAGTTGAACTTACGTTTTTGTGCTGAAGATCTGGTTTACTAACCTACTGTTGTGAATTCTGTGTCTCTTTTAGGACTCAAGGCGACCCAATACGCATTAGGCATTCACATTCCCCTCGAAGCTACCGTCAGTATCGGCGGTCCCAGTGCTCTGATGGTGAAAGATCTGTCCTGTCTGAAGTGAAGTACGTGGTTGTGGTTTTTAGCAATGGACTGGTTTAGTGTGGCCCAAAAGTTGTTCAAAGATCATAGTCAGATCAGAAGTGCCATAAACGTGGTTGGTTGCTGTCATAGGATTCAGGCAACCCTCAGTGCTAAATGACTCTAACAAGTATAAAACCATTTCTGGTCTATTCTGGGCCACAGAGACTTGCTTGATCCACTTGGTAGGGGGAAAAACTGAAAAAGCCAGAATAAACCTGTATTGCTCTTCAGTGGTAGGTCATTAAATTGCCTAAGGGATGAAAACTCATGAGTTGCTTTCTAGATACCTTCATCCTTAATAGAGTTAAGACATCATCTTTATTAACTCTGTAATTTGTTTGATGGGAACTCAGGTACAACCCTGTTCAGCAATGGGTGGATCAGTCTTTCCTAGAAGATTCATTTGTAAAGGGTGTATTTATGAACTGAAAAGTGACAATCCCATTCTCAGTTTTATTAAGGCCTTAAATATCAAAAGCAGTCCCTTGATGATATTACCCACTTGAGAGGCTAGTTTTAGCTGGACGGCACCCTGAAAGAGGTGTGGCACACCCATGATTTCAGGTGAGACTCATCTAGCATGAAGTTGGGCTGCGTCTGTAGACCAGGAGGAGACAGGCCCCTTGAGAAGGGGTGGGATGACCTATGCCCTGGAGGTGCCCACCGACTACTGAGGATCAGCATGGTACCTTTCGGATGTCTGAAGTTAGGTGATAAGCCTTCTGGATTTTGCCTTTCAGACCTACGTAGCTGTCTGGGTCAGTTTCATTATTCTTCCTCTGCACAGTTGTGGTTTACTTCATTATAGCAATATCCATTTTGTAATGTCGTAATTGCAGTGCAAAAACTGATCTGGTGCCTCCACTGCCTGTCACACGATCTTCAGATGCAAAAGGTCCCAGCATCCAGTTGACTCAGCAGGTTAGTAATTGCATGTCATTTGCAATTTTTCTTTTTTTGGAGGGAAAAAGGGGTGTCTAGTGCTTTATTTAAAATAGATGTTTGTTTGTCAGTGAAAATTAAAGCTGTCTGAGATTTTTTCAGCTGCAGTGTGACTTGTAACATTTTGCTTATATTTACACTTCATTTATATTTCCAAATATATATGGTACGGTAGCATATGCCCCTGCAAACACCTGCTTCTACTACTGGAGGACTCCCAGTTTGAGTTTGATACTTCCTTAAGATGATTTCCTGTTCTCCACAGGAAGGAGAATCAACTTTCACCATTTCTTAAAATACGCAAGTGTGCCTGGGATGCAGTTGTAATCACAACATTTATTCACCTCTTCTTAGAGGTCTTGTTAGAGTTTTGTTGTTTGGGCTTGAAGCATTGCATTTTTTTTTTTTTTTTTTTTCCCCCCCCCCAAATGCTGAATGTTTTTTTACGTTTTTGAAATCTGAAAGGGATAGAGCTTGTCCGTTTAAGTGTCATTGCTGGCTTCCCTCATACATTATGGCACCATATCTCTCAGCTTTGATAGTTTTACTAAGCTCAAAATATGGGAAGCAGATTATATTCAAAAATCACTTGCAGGTCTGTGGTGCAAGCACACAAAAGGAAGCCAAAATGGGGAAGGGAGAATTCCAGATACCTAAATTCCCACACCAGTCATCATGTCTGTTAATCTGTCATGTGGTTATACCAAAACTGCATGCTGATACTGTATGTAGTGTGGAAACTGCACAGAATACAACCAGCAAAGCATGTCATATTTGATTTATAAGCAGTTAGAATACCTTAAGCTTGAGCCATTTTAAAACAATAAAGAGGTATTTTTCACTTCGAGATTAGCTAACACACTACCTGTTCTTTGATGAGAATTAAGTTCAAGGATATTTGTGTTCCTGCGTGTGATGGAAATTGAAAAAGATGAGCTGTCTTTGATGTTTCTGTAAGGACTTCCTCCATCAGTGAAGGGGAAATTGGTATACTTAAGGCTAAGCACATTTATGTGCTTTGTAGAAATGGGTAACTTGTGTGATTGAGGCCTGTTCGAAATTCACATTGACTTATTTCCATTCTTATCCAATACAATGCAGCTTAAATTCATGCCCTGGAAGGATTTAATGTTACAATGTTCAGTGTCCATAAACACCTCTCTTTTCCTCTGCCGCAGATCCCCTCACAACAGCAGCTGTTAATTCCTTGTGAATGCTTGCTTGCAGTGTTTTGCTAGATTTAAAATAATTAGTCCTGGCATTTCCTGAATAGGGAATATGAATCCAAATAGCACAGAGGGGCAGCAGCTGGCAGGGGAGAGGGGAGGCAAGAAGGGAAAATACTTGTGTTTGATCAAATAAATGTAGATACTTCCATGTTCCTGGTGTGTGTATGTATATATATATATAAAAATATATATATATATAAATGCTATATCCTTAGCCTAAGGCTATCATAGAAGCAGTTATCAAAATATGGTATTTATATTCTACTATACCTTTCCAACAACATGTTTTAATTTGTTCCCTTCAGAGACAGAATGGATCTAAAGACAGCCTGATAGATGAAACATCTCAGCTATCCACTACCAGTGTTGATGGAAAACCCACCACTAAGATCATAAAAACTGTACAAGTGTCACGCTTCAAGGTGGAGACTTGACTGCCATAACTGAAGATGGTGAATGAATTTTATTCGTTGGAAACTGAGAATCTGTGTGTGTGTGCAAGGGAAGGAACTGAAGTCAATGTGGTAGCAATTTCTTCAGGACACTCAGAAGCACAGCCTACTTGCTGGGAAAGACAAGCAATGCTTTTACCACTGACACCATTCTAGTAGTGTGACTGATCAAGGACAAGCTGCCTGATTAGACAACCAAAAAGAAAAATCTTAGAAAAAACAAATGAATCGGCAGTTACATTTCCAAAAAATGAACAGAAAAATTGCTGCAACAAAACAGGCTTTATCATCTGCCCTGTAACTGAATAGCCTTTTCCCAAAAAGTGGCTGTTAGCTGACATGATCAGGACCAGATGCTTCACGAGAAGCAACATAGTTGTATTTTTGGCCAATTGTGCAATACAGTGTGATATGGGGAGAATTATCTTCACAATTTTATATGGGGATCAACTTGTGTCCTGAGACATAAGGACTGATAGCTCTTACAAGATTTATTTTAGCCTAGCACAACAGATGCTCTTGTTAATACAAATGTTGACTCAGCTCAAAAATCATAGTCTCGGTAATACCCTGTAGCAGAGACCTCCAGAGGTGATACAGACTTACTTCCCTGTGGCAGTTTTAAGTGTTCTCAATTTTGAATGCCCTTTATCTAGAGGGACTATTTAATTGAACATTCTATACCATAGAAATAAATCTATCACCTTATAGTAAACCACACTGGAAAAAAATGGAGAATATGTACTGACCCGCATATTAAGACTGCTTAGCAAGGCACTTAAGTACTGGTTAAATGAAACTTGTAGAGTAGGATTTAAGACAGCTAGCAAATAACTTTTTTTTTTTTTTTTAAAAAAAAAAACTAGATTAGTAAAGTCTGCCTTCATTTCTTTTAGTTTGAAATAATCAATGCTAGTACCTTCTGATACTTTTCTCTGAGCCATTTCTACTATGATAAAATGACAAAGGCAGTATTTCAGGTATGATAATTGCATTTTTTTTTCTATTGTCACAGTAGGAATAGTAAGTTTTAATGATGCTGCACGTTGAGTGGTTTATCTTCTAGTATGTATCTGAAGTGATGCCTAGCTCTTCTCCTGTCCTATCACTTTGTACAAGTAGCTGAAAGTCATTCCTCTGCCTCCCATTTGTCCACAGTCAGCACATGGATGGGCCTTCTGGTGTTGCTGACTTACTAAGAAGCTTAGCAAAATCTTGGTGTTGTGAAAGTAACGTTTGCTAAGTGTAATCTGCAAACTAAATACTGAATTTGTCAAACAGCATTGGAAATGGCTGTAGTAGCTCATGTGCTTACATCTGTCCTCCTTAAATGCAAGCCCCACCACCTTCAGTGATTTGCAGTGATCGTGTGTCTTCTACCCCTAACAACACCATACCGGGAGTCTGCAGCCCTGTCAGAAAAGCAGTACAAGCTGAGAACTGGAGTGAGCATAAGGCACCTAAGTTATGATTGACAAGAGGCATGGGGTTACTAATACACATTTTAACTAACAAAACTGAGAAGTGGGAGCCTTGTACGATGTGTTTTATTTTCTGCTTAATTTTTTGATTATTGATCTGAGGTGGTCAGGTGGACGCTACTAGTCAGCATGGTGGCCATACAGTCTTTATATTCCTATCACAGTATGAATTGGTCTGCAGGTTGGGAGATGCTGCATAGTGCCAGGGAAAGCAGATTCACTTCATGAATATTTTAGTTTGATTTTGGACAGTTCTGCTACTTCAGTCTCAGTGAACAAATCTAAAGGAAGGAAAGAGCTTAGTACCCCTCTGTGGTAAAAATTCTGTTTTCATGGAGGTTCCTCAGCATTTTCTGAATTTACTGTGGATTGCATCCTAGGACATTGTTGGGCTTGGCTTAAAGTATTTTCTCAAACTGTTATGTAAGTCTGATTTCATTGTCATTGCTTCAATTTAAAGTGACCCTGTAGGATCTCTTTATGACCTTGTGTAGTATTTTCACGAGCACCAGTTAAACACAGAAAAACCACAAAAAAACCCCACCACTGTCGCAAAGATTGTGGTGATACAGCTTAATCTAGAGCATCACAATCTTTTGGAAGACAACTGAAATATAACAGACCACACAAGAACTGGTTATAGTCTCTACAGTGAAAGCCACTCCTGATTTCTTCAAGGTGTTCCAAGCTTGAATTATGCACTTGCTTGTATCTTGTTGCTTTCTAAATCATTACCACTATTCTGCATTCCTTACTCAGGCACTGGCAAGTAGAACACATCTATTACTTTATGAGGATTTGTGGTGTTATTATTTGAGAATTATCTGTACATAGTGTCTGTATCTTGCCAATCCTCAAACACTGATCACGAAGAAAATTACTTGCAAGGTTTATATCCAACCTCATGTTTTCCTGTATGTTGTTATCTGCCTGTGGGCTTTTGCGTATTCTAGCTAGGTACCATCTGGCAAGTGTGTGGTATTTTACTTATCCCACCACACCAGAATATAGGCTTCTATCTAGTCTAATAGTGATCGGTTTCAGTTCTCAAGTCACAGGAGAGTTGTTTTGTAATCAAGCCAACTTTTTTGCATTTATATGAGAAAATTTACATAGTCCTGGATTTGAGTTAGTGGTCTTCTCTCCAATGAGACTATGTAGGAAGCAGGTTTTAGCAAGTCTGGGGCACTACAGTAGTTTTATATCTGCAAAAGAAAGACTTAAGCCTAACGCCTGTATTACATGTTAAGTGTCAGTGCCAGAACAAGGCAAAACTTGGACAAGGAAGTCATTGTCAGCTCATAGTACAGAAAAAGAAACTTCCACATACATGAGCCACCTTTCCCTTCAAGCTTCTTTTCCTCAGCCATTTGAGGAAAGGCACCTTTTCTTGTCTTATTTTTTTGTGTGAGAGATGCCTACAAAGTGATCAATCACTGAAAGTGCTTACTGTGTCACAGCTGTTTTGTTGCCCTAAACTAGCCCTACAACATCTCTAAGTGGCTTGCCTCTTACAGCTCTGAGCTGCACCTTGTTTACCCTTCCCTGGCTCTCTTGGGGCTTTCACTGCCTAAAGGCAGTTACATTTTCAGACCTGGAGTTTGGATGTCAGTCCAAAATGCTTGTACCTCCTGATGAGTCGGGCAAGACAGGAAATGTGTAACTGTGTCAGGCAAAGTTTACCCTAAGGTTGGATGCCATACAGACCTGTCCTTACATGGACAGTGAACTCATACTTGAGACATTCTCATCCTAATTCTGCTTCTAGCCTGCTGAATTGATCTCAGGCCAACAATGTTAAGATTGTGCCTCTGCATTTACCTCTTCTGAGACATCTGTAAGTACTAAGAATAGGTAAGTTATGGAACTCTCTCACTGATACTAGCAAGACCTACAAATATAGATATACCTTTATATTTTATACCATAATGAGGGTTTGCTAACCACACTACAAATGCATTTTGTATATCCCATATTGGTCCCCTTGCTTGTTACCTGGTTTCTTTCATTAGGACCTAGCCTTGACCTGCTCTTTTCTACACTGCACTTCTTATCAATATCCCTAACCTTGCAACTCGTATTCTAATAGAGCTCATTATACTGAACATGTTGGTTGGGAAAAAAGAAAAAAAAAATTAATCACTACCATTTAAATTGCCAAATTAATCATCTTTATACATGTGAATACTGAACTGAATAGATAGCACATTTTCTTTTGGGAAAGCCTGTTTAATTCAAAGCTCCCTAGAAAGATGTTTGAAAATAACATACATAAACATATCAATGTGATGCCTATGTTCTATGTACATTAAGTATTCATGAAGCAACTGTGTGCTTTATTTTCAATTGAGTTTGATAGATGGCTGTGTTAATACTTGTGTCCAGGTTATTTAAAAGTCAAGTAAAACTTGAATTTTTAGAGCATTCCATGGTTGCCTGTGTGTCTTATTTACATTACACAGAGGAGCAAAGCCTTCAGAAACACGGATTCATTGACAACACCATCTGGTAAAAACAGGTGTAGTACCAATTAAAATCCACTTGAGGATACAGCTTCTCCAGATTAAATATTTTTCTTGGTAGCAGAAATTTGTCAGCCTAAGTTTGATACTTCCAGTGTATATCCATAGTACCGTTTCCTTTATTACCTAAAAATGACCAGAAGCAACATCGGACTACACAAGCTGTCAAACCATACAGATGGAAAGCCAGCATGGCAGATGTTCTCTCCTTAATGTGCCTGTTTTAAATATCCTCCGGTATTTCTCTCCTTGGTAAGAGTTGCAGTGGGTTGATCTTGGGCGGACACCACGTGCCCACCAAGCTGCTCTATCACTCCCCTCCTCAGGACAGTAGGAGAGAAAATAAAATGGGAAAAAAAAAACCAACTTGTGCTTCAAGATAAAGACAGCTTAATAAAACAAAAGCAAAGACCATGCACAAATGAAAACAAAAGATGTATTCTCCACTTTCCATCAGCAGGCGATGTCCAGCCACTTCCCGGGAATTAGGGCTTCAGTACACATAGCAGTTGCTACAAAAGACAAACACCGTAATAACAAGTGCCACCCCCACACGCTCCTTTCTCTTAGTTTTTCTTGCTGAGCAGATGTCATATGGTATGGAATATCCTTTTGGTCAGTCCCAGCGGTGTCCCCTCCCAAGATCTTGCCCATCCCCAGCCTACTGGATGAGGGGGGAATGTTGGAGACACAGCCTTGATGCATTAGCAAAACAGAGGTGTGTTATCAACATCTTCCAAGCTACCCAAAGCACAGTACCATGAGGTGGGGAAATCAACTCCATCTCAGCCAGACCCAATACAAGAGTGATGAAAACCACTGCCCTCTCAATTTAAATTTACAATTTAAATAATACACCATACTCACTGCAGTGTTACAATCTCAAGAATAGCTAGGATTATGCAGTTATTTTCTCAATGAGGGTATCAGAATGGACTTAACATTCTTCATAATATACTACCATTAAATTTACTATAAATGAGTCCCTTTGCTAGTCAAGAGGTAACAGATTTACGTTCAAGAATGTCCCCACAGGTCACCCACTGATACAGCCTGTTTCCATTTAATGGAGCTAGCCTCAGTCAACTCAGATGTGGCGTGCTAAAAGGTTAAAGAGAAATTTGGAACCAGCCAATTTTCTTCCTGTGCCCACTTCTCAAGGGTTCTGATTTGCAGCCTTTTCTACTGAGCATCCTCCTCCAGGAGTGTTGGTGCAACACCCAAGCAGTGTACAGATCTCCTCTTGCTCACTAGAGCACCTTGGCATCTGTCCTCTTTTCTACTTTTTAACTCTATCAACACCAATATGTCAGACATTGTGTTCGTGTAAAACAGAGGAAGAGAAAAAAATAAATAAGAAGTCTTGTGTTTTTCAAGGGTACAGTCCAGTTAGCCACTCATAAAAACTAAAAGGCAGTCTTAATTAATGCCCAACACCATACTTACCATTTACCAGCATTACTGTTTTAGTAATCAGTGTGCCTTACACCCATCTATTCCCCTCTCTACCTCACCACTTCTTTGTTCCACAACACTATGGAACAGGTATTACACACTGAAGCTTAAAATTCTAGTTTTTCTTGTTGAAAGGGAACAAACACTTTAGACAGCCATCATTAAAATTTGGCATTAGCTGTTGCTCTGGAGTTTAAAAAAGTACTAAAAGCTACTCCTGCCAGTCTTGCAGTTAAAGAACAAAGACCCATGAGCAAAACTCCTGAACAGATGGTATCTCAGGGAATATAATCCCCAACAGAAACCCTAGGCTTTCAAGTGCATCCAGTAATTACATGTTGGATCACTAAAAATTAATTACTCTTGTCAAAACCTCCTTCCCTCTTGACAATCCAAAAACTAACTTATGCTTAGACTTTGCATTAGTAATTTGCTTACACTCAGTACTGAAAAATCAGACATTGCAAGACATGTAATTGGAGCATTTGCTCTTCTGATAAAATTAATTTATGATGTCTTCCTGAAAAAAAACAAGCATGAATTCCAGTTGTCATCCCTACAGTGTTCCACTCTACTTCAAGTTTAGTTGGAAGTATCATACTATGCAGCTGAACCAAGCTTGCAGTTTTCCATGTTGGAGAAATACTTTTCCTGCTATTTTTAAACTCAGGTTTGCTGAATTTTAATTTCTGCTTTTTCTCACAATACAAATCACAGCTACCCCAATCTCTGAGTACTCCCGAAGACCATGGTTTCAGTGATAACCACCCATCCACTTAATAGCCTCTAGGTTGTATTTAGTCTGAAGGGGTGAATTGGTATCCCAAAAACAATGCAGAGGAAGTCAAAAGTATCAGAGAAGCCACTGCTATCATAGCTTGAGAAAGAAATTCTGAGAACAGAAACATAAACCTTTATTTTTTGTCTACATAAACATTACCAAACACTGCTCCAATACAGTTAAAATCACCTTGTGTTACACTACATGGAGACTTAACATTCCACCTTTTTAACAGTTTCTTGTTTCTGTTCCTTATGGAGTAGTCCTGCATAGACTGCCACTGGTCTCAGGCTGGTTCTAACAATTCTTCCTAGGGAAAAAAGTAAACAATATGAAATTAGACACATGTAGCACACAGCTGTTCTCAGTAACATCCTCTACATCCCTGAGACTGGTAGAAAGGTACAAGGATCAGCTTCCCCCTCAGCCCTTTGGAAAAAAGTCAAAAGCTAAAATCTGAAAATCTTATTTTTGAAAAGCCTATATGCAAGAGAGGCTTTTTGCCCATCCAGGCAAGATTTCAGATCCTAACTACAAGTTGGTGGCAGTACTAACACCTTCTAGCTGGTGGGAATCCATAGAAAGTTTTGTAGTAGTAACTCATCCACACATGTCTGTGCATTATATGACAGTTTAACAGGCTAGTCAACCAGTAACAGAAAGATGTGATTTAGTAATTTTATGCTGAAAAACAAGTAGCAGCCCTGTTATTAGATACATTACTCATAGTGGATTACACATACATTTCTCTTCGCAGTGCGTGACAGGTTCATAGAAAGAGTGTCCATCCTACTCTTCAGCCTTGCAAAAACCCCCAGTGTCTGTGGTGCTAAAAGTCTGGGATGGATTTCACTGGTTCATTTTCTATCGACAGCACTGGTAAAGCATTAAGTGTGTCTGTGTTCTTCATGTTGCTCACAGATTTTCACATTTCAATGTATAAAACTTTCTGATTCTAGAATTTTCAAGGGCATTCTGACAAACTCAAAGGAATTTCATCACTTTGCTGAAGTTTTCTGTTGCATTCTTTCCCACAAGGAAACCAACAGTGATGTAGCGGATCTTGTATCACACTGGTTCACTTTTGTAAGAACACGTTTATGCAAAATACTGAACCATCTTCAGTTTAATTTTTCCCAAAACGTTAATTTCTCATCAGGAAACACCACATATTCCTGAAGCAACTTTAGATCAACCAGTCTTGTAGCAGCTGAGAAATCACTTTTTGAACATCTGTCTTCAGCATGGACAACTATTGGATCACTATCTTCCTTTAGAATTTGACTCCGCTCAGTTTGCACAGCTTGGTTGAAGAGCCTGTCATGTTGTCTTTGTGAGGAGATGCCAAATCATCAGTCTGCTTTCCCAGAGCTGCAATCACATTTTGAAAACTGCTACTGCAAACACCACACAATTACACAATCTATATTTCTCTTCTGTAGGGAGTTTGTACAGTATTACTGATTTCTAGCACAGTGAAAAAAAGAAAAAAAAAAAAAAAAAGACAACAGAATTGTTCATCACTCAAAAGCCTGAATAATCCGAGACTCATTAATGGGTGCCAAAAGCAACCCTGATTTTTCCAGAAACTTCTCTGTACCTTTTATCTCTTCCAAGTTTCCTTGAACTGTATTTATAGTTCTTCCCTGGAAATAACACCATGCAGCACTGTGTCTCAGCACCCTCCTCTTCACTATGTGTCTAGGACAGCTGGATGCACCAGTCAAACAACAAAAACAAGAAGGCAAACAAATATGCAAGATACTTATGGTTCTTTTTGTGTTCTGCAACATAGCTCCTGCATAATGAGGTTTAAATGAGGCATAACTGCACAAGATGTGAGCAAGACATCTTTTATTGGTTTTCTACTTCATTCAATCTACCCTTCATCAGTGCTGTACTTCCCTGTCTGAGCAACTAGTCTGTTCACAGTCGTAAAAGTCAGCTGCTGCTGCTAAAAAACCCTCCAGTATTTTTAAATCTGAGTATTGTACAAAATATTCAACAGGAACACCACTCTCTAGCATGTGGTGTAATATTGTGACCCTTTCTAATTTAAAAGACAATCAGTCACTTATTCAGTTTGACTTGAAACTAAAGTTTGCACTCTGAACTTCACCTTTGATTTTGTCTCTGTGAATTTGGAGCAGGCTGTCTAATAGTTTACTCAGTGTGGTTCACCCCCTCTGAAATGCAGGTAAGTTTATGATGATGATTTCTCAGTACTGGATCATTCCTGTATCACATTTCCAGTAGTGACTGGAAGTTCCTGGCTTCAAAGACTTGGATTATTACCCTTCAGTACCTAAGTTACATAGGCCATAGTTTCAGCACCAAAGAAATCTTTGCTAACACACGCAATTTTTATTAATGACTTGATTGTACCACTGAATTTCATGCTGACTTGACTACTCAACTTTTCAACAGTTGTCTTTCTCAATACTTTTCTGGTATGGGGCATAAATAACAAAAAGATAAACACATAAAGGCAAACCGCATTTTTCCCCACATTAAAGATTTTCATCTTTTATGTAGCTGAATACCCTGAAGCTGTAAGTATCTTTTTGCAATAGAAAAACTAGATGCCACTGCAGGAGTCTGAAATCTTATGTACTAATTATCTGCAGCACAAAAGTAAGAAGTTATCGTGATAGGACAGATAAACAATGCTAAAAGCAACCATTATCATTCTAGTTTTCCCTCTTTTAATAGCTACCAGAGTATTCACTTAAAAAGACTGAAGCACAAAATTTACTATGTAACTGCTCATCCATACAATTTCTACAGCTTTTTTTTTTTTTTTTGTCCTTGCAAAAACAGGAAGAAGGGTAAATAACCAGCTTCTTGAACAGTTTCAGCAAGAGTTCCTGTTTGCCTTTTTTGACACCACACATTCATTCTGGACAGGAATGAACAGGCAACACAAAGGCAAAATTTTAAGTAACTTCTTTAACTGATCACCTCTGCAAAATTAAATTATCGACATATGGAAAAGATCAATTTATCAGTAGGAAAATACTTAAAAATACACAAGTACTTAATATTTTATAGAGAGTAAGCATTTAATAAGAAAATCCAAGCACCCCATGCTCTTGGGACATTCTATGGTCATGTTGGTGCTTGCTTAGGCCATCAATGGACTTCCATTGCATTCATCTGGAAAAAAAAAAAAAGTTAACATGCTTTCACTTGGAAGAGCGCTGAGGTACATGAACTGTACAAGAAGCGTAACAAATGCTTCAAACAACTGCCTGAAATTCCAAGTAGACAGCAGATCCTACGGCTCCCCGCCCCCCAAAACACGAAGCCCAAATCATCCCTACCCGCACACTTCAAGGTTAAGGGCTACTCTATTACACGAGCCCCAGCGGCCTGCTCCAGCAACCTGGAGTTCTGCGGAAACCCAACCGCAGCACTTCAGCACGCCAGGCACAGGCGACTGCGTGTGGCAGCCGCGCTCAGCTCTCCCACATTACCCAAAAAGTATCCCTTTAAAACGGGTGGCCCTTCTCCGAAGAGACAGGCCGCACCGAGCACCGCAGGCCGACCGCGCGCCCGCCCGCGGGAGTGCGACGTGAACCAAGGGCGGAACGGGCAGCACTGAACTCGCCCTTCCGAAAGGCGAGCCTGTGGAGAGCCCTCCCCAGCCGACGGTGAGAAGCCTACACAGAAACCTTCAAAACCAGAGACTCCGGGGGGTGAAGGGCCACCGACCCACCCGGTTCCACGGACACCGGATCACGGGGGTGGGGGAGGGGGAAGGGCCGTTCGCGCGCTCCCGCGACACGCACGCACCGCCCACAACCACGCCCCGCGGCCCCCGCTACTCCCAGCGTGCCGCAAGAGGGGCGAACCAATATTCCGGCAAGGGGGGTGCGGGGTGGGGGGGGGGGCAGAACGACGACGCCACGCACCAGCTCCTCCCGCAACGCGGAAGCCGCGCACCGAGCCTTGCGCTGACGCAGGGATAACCGGCTCGTTTCCTTCAGCTGGCGGAGACCGGCTCAGGCGAATCCACTGGGAGCGAGGCGGCGAGTTTTGGGGTAGCGCCACCCCTGCGCCAGCACGGCGGTGGAGGCGCCCCGGGGAGAAGGGGCGGAACGTCCGGCCCATCAGCCCGCGCATGCGCAGTGCCGCGGGAGGCGAGGCGCGGGCGCGGCTTTTGCTCGGAGGCCGCGGCGGGAGAGGGGGCCGGCGGTGCTGCCGGGGGGTGCTTGCCGGTGTAATTCCCGTCCCGTGGCAAGGCGGCTGCCGTGTGTGCGGCGTATTTACGCCAGCGAGCTTGGGCGCGCTGCGGGGCCTTAGCCGGTATGGCTTGTCTAAGCTGGGCCCTCGAGGGTGCAGTTGCGCTGCCCCAGAAAACGCCTCTCTGCCTGAAGCTCTCGCTCTGCTAAGCTTCCCCGCTGCAGGCACGGGGTCCTCCCGGGCAGCGCTCCCTGGAGAACCTGGCTGGTGGGATGGTCCTGATGCTCACAGGCGTTTCCCTTCTGAGCACCCTGGATCTATGTTCTTGCAGTAGCTTTCATGTGAGAGGTGCCGAAGTTTCCTAGTGAGGTGGCCACACATAAACATCCTCATCCTGTGTATTGCTCATTTATGGTCACACCCGTGGTGCTCTACTTTGTGCTCCCCGGCTGGAGGGACATGTGCAAAGTAACTGACCTCTCTTCAGACAGGCAGAGTGTGCAACAGTCCTGGCCATTTAATGTTTAAATGCCAGCAGGGGCTCAATTCTGAGTGATTTGCTGACCCTGAATTTCCCAATTTGCTTACTCTGTATGGAGGCAGGACATACTGTGTTCAGAAAACAACAGGAATAGAGCAGATACGTACCACAGGACGATAAGCGGACCATGTCTGGACAAAATGCAGAATGAGGCTAGTACCAGCTGTAGAGAAACCCGTGAATAGTACAGCTCCTATGTACCTTTCTTTCTCTGCATCTTACAGCTGCTGTGTTGCTTGCTTCTTCTAGCTCTTCCTTACGTGGCAGTAGCAGAGAGTGGTTACCTCTGGTGTCCAGGAGGCACAGTTGCAAAGTCACTTCTGCAGGACAGCCTGATATGTGACAACTTAGCTAAATTAGAGGAAGTCATAAAAGGGCTGACAAGTGCCCAGGTGTTACAGAAGAGGCATGATTCATTGCAGCCTTGATAGAGAAAAAAGGTAGATGTAACAAGCAGCTGAGGGGCAAGCAAATATCACCACTCACAGCTTCTGGAGAAGTGTAGAGACTTGCAGGAGTTCAGGATTCTTCCTTTGGTAATTTGAGGTCTGTTTGCTTTGCATAAATTTGATTTTGTGTCATGCTTAGGCATATCTCTAAAACAGGTAGGGTGTATTAGTGCTGTCTTTGTAGAAAAAGTAACACTGTTAACATTAATTTCAAGCAGATTCACCTTCCGTATCTTTGGCTTGTCATTCAAAAATTCTGTTTCCCACCTAAGATTGTCTCAAGCATTGCCTCAAGCCTAACTTAGGCATGCATAAGTTAGTAAACAAGTACTCACATTGAGTAAAGTCATACTTAAAATACAGAAGTAGTTCATCAGGACACTGATCGGATTGTTGCTGACAGTCAAGCTAGTAAATCAGTGGAGATGTGTTGCTGATACAATCAGGTGTTGATTTGCAGATCAGGGACAGCTGTCTGGACAGAAGTTTATGTCAAATGGAACTAGTCCAGGTTCTGATTACATAAGTGAACAGTATACTGAAGAAAAAACCTTTAATGTTTGTGACGTTTGTTATTTGTGCCTGGGGATACAGTAGAGCTTGAATAGCTACATGAGAAAACACACTATCTATAAACCACTAATTGATTATATAAAAAACTTGGTAATTTTAGGTGTCCTCTGAAGTTATTATTGAATCACAGAATGGTTTGGGTTGAAAGTGACCTTCTAATCCAACTCCCCTGACCTGGCCAGGGACATCTTTCATAGGGACATCAGACTGCTCAAGGCCCCCTCTAACCTGGCCTTGAACCCTTCTAGGGAGGGGGCAGCCACAGCTTCTCTGGGCAACCTGTGCCAGCGTCTCACCACCCTCACAGTAAAGAATTTCTTCCTTGCATCTAATATAAATCTACCTTCTTTCACTTTAAAACCATTACCCCTTGTCCTGTCACTACAGTCCCCAGTAAAAAGCCTCTTTACATCTTTCTTATAAGCTCCCTTTAAGTAGTGAAAGGTTGCAATAGGGTCCCCCCAGAGCCTTCTCTTCTCCAGGCTGAACAACCTTTACTCTCTCAGCCTTTCATCATAGCAGAGGTGTTCTAGCTCTCTGACCATCTGTCATGCTTTGAGCCCAGACGTCAACTGAGCACCACACAGCGTCACTCCCCCCTTGCCTTCCAGCGCTGGGAGGGAGAAAATGAAGGAAAAGGCTTAGGAATTGACATAAGGACAGAGAGGGGAGGCTCACCCATTACAGTTACGTACTGCACAGCAGCAAGGATCTCTTCATTCACTCTTATTTCTTATTTTCTGTGTATAATTCAACAGCTGGCAATTGACATCCTCAGATGAGGCATTTCCGCACCCCCCACCCCCCACCCCCCCGGAAATGCCATGTCAAATTATGTTAGTTTGCTATAAATTTATCACAACATGCAAAGGAGAGTTATGTTAATAGTCTGACCCAATTAATTATTCAGTCTCTGCAAGGACAATGCTGTAGAAAAAAGTTCAGACTCCTTATCCCTTTCAGTAGTCATTGATTTCTTGGGACGCTAATAGGCAGTCAAAACCTGAATCTGTAATAAACATCTTGTTTTGTTCCACTCTGTCTGGGTGTGTCCTTAGTTTTCCTGAGTGAATTCCAACACTAGCTTGTAAGGGTATAATTCCCCATTGTGCTTTCTTCAGCAAGAAAACCAGTTCCTGCCCTTCCTGGCTTATGGCCTCTTGTTCCTGTTCCCAGCATCAATTAACTGCTCTATGAGTTTTGTCAGTGCCAGCAGTTGTGGCAGCATGCCACAGAACAGGTCACTGAAACTATCAGGACTCCTAAAAATGAGTGATTTGGCTTTGGGTGCAATTAAAATGTGCAACAGAAGAAAATAAAATAAACAAAGATAGTTAAGTATAACCTTAGTAGAGCTGAGAAAGGATAGAGTTAATATACACAGTTCAGTCTGTGTTGCATAGAAAGCTTGCAGGTACACCTGTTCTTCCTTTTCCTCATATAGAATAAGGGGCTGCTGTGTACACAATATTTTAGTGATGTTATAGGAAATTCTAATGCAAGCTGATAGAGTATCTTGAGGGAGCACTGTAAGCAGAAGATGAAATATCTCAAAAATACTTTGTGAGCAGTGAGTTACTAGTGTGATATAGCTCCTGCCCTGTTGTCTTGAGTGATATGAAGCCGTTTCAACGCCAGGCTTTCTTCATGCCCTCACTGAATTCCCAACAAAATTGCAGAGTGTTATTTGCTTGGCTTTTTGTCAGATTCATTTCTCTACAGCTTTTTTCCTACCACCCACCAGAGGTCAGTGTAATGCCAAGAATGCCGAGGAATAGGGAAAGGAAAATAACGTTTAAGTTTCTCCTAGTTGCTAGCGTTGTAGGAATTACTTGAGTGCAGCAGTGGTCAGTCTAGCAGTGTACCTTATCTTTTGTCAGTATCAGTTGAATTAGAGGAAGGGTATGAAGCTGTCAAAAGGTCAATGAGAAGTCACCTGTAGATGGTGAGACTGTCAGAGGTTGAATAAACTGCAGAAGTGTGAAGCTTCCTGTATTTTTCAAAGGGTGTTAACACCAGTTAGCAACGTTCTAGATATTCTGGAGAGCCAAAGAAATGGCCAAGTCTTGCTAAGCTCTTGCCTCAGTCATCCTTGTGCTAACAAAGGTCACAGTTTGAATGAGAAAATCGTCTGATATTCAGTTTCTCACCTTTTATTCAGTTCTAGGTTCTTGTATTATGAGGCAGGATGGACCAGTTTTCAAGATTTGTGCCTTCATTATTTTACATATTATTATCAGTTTTACCAGTTTTCCATGAAAGAGAGGCACTCTTGTCTTTCAGGCTCTTTTTTCATTGTTCTTATGATTTTCTGAGCTTGTTAGGAAATGATCCCATCTGTTTTATGGTAGAATGCCTGGTAATGGCATACAAAATTGTAGCTGAGTCTGCACTACTGGTTTCTAGAGAAGCACTGTATTATTTTTGTTGTTGTCCCATCTCATATTCCTTAATGGACTTCAGTGTTCCCCTTCCTTTTCCCAACAGCACTTGTTCATTCAAAAAAGGTCTTCAATGGGCTACAGTGACATGTCAGTTTCCTTCAGAACTGATATTATTAATTGGAAATATTTTAGGTCTCCTAGCCCCAAAGCTTTTTCTCCAGTGTGCTTTACTTTTTATTTGTTGTTCCTGAATTTGTTTGCTATTGTATTTGCCTGTTCAGCTGACTTGTGCAGGCTCTTCTGAAGTTCCTCTCATCTTCTATTGGTAGCCTGAATAATGAATTTATTATTTAATTGATAATCTATTATTTTAATGATTATAAATGTGTACAAATATTATTATAAATTATTTAATTTATAGTTTATTATAATTAATTAAATGGTAATTTAATTATAACACCCAGTAAAATACTGCTACGTTAAGAATTCTGTTAAATGTGTGAGATTTCTTTCAGTCAGAAATTTTTGTAGCCACTCTGTATCATAAGTCTTCATCTGGTGGATTGTATTTGGAGCTTGTTTCCTTGGGGTGTAGGGTTTTTTCTTCCTGTTCTATGATTTCTTTCACTATGAACAAAGTAATAGACTAGGTTAAATTGGAGGAAAAAGAGATTTT